CAGGAGGCCACCTGGGAGTTAAACGAACTCTCCTGAAGATCCGAGAACGGTTTTACTGGGTCCACTGTCGTGACGATGTCGAGGACTGGTGCCGCAAATATACAAGTTGTGCGGCTGTAAAGGGACCTCAAATTCGTAGTAGAGGCGCATTGAAATTGTACAATGTTGGTGCACCATGGGAGAGGATAGCCATTGACGTTGCGGGGCCGTTTCCGGAAAGTGAAAGTGGTAACAAGTATTTCATGGTTGTGATGGATTACTTCACTAAGTGGCCAGAAGTCTTCGCCATTCCAAATCAAGAAGCTTCAACAGTTGCAGATAAACTAGTTCATGAAGTCTTCTGTCGTTTTGGAGTACCCTTAGAGATTCACAGCGATCAAGGAAGGAATTTCGAGTCTCAAATATTCCAGGAAACTTGCAGAGTTATGGGTACTCATAAAACACGAACAACTTCTTACCACCCACAATCTGATGGAATGGTAGAACGATTTAATCAGACATTGGAAAGGTACCTGGCAAAAGTTGTGGAAAAACGGCAACGAGACTGGGACAGGCACATACAACCGTTTTTGTTGTCATATCGAAGCGCTGTTCACGAAAGTACATCATTGACGCCAGCTTTCGCAAACTTTGGGAGAGAATTACGGCTGCCTGCAGACCTGATCACCGGAATACCACCAGATGCCCCACGCAGTATAACCGATTATGCAAATGACTTGCGGAACAAAATGAATGACATTTATGAGCACGTCAGACAGACGGGCCAGCAAACCTCTGAGAAGATGAAAACACGGTATGACCGCAAAATAAACAACAAGGGGTTTGATGAAGGTTCTCTAGTGTGGTTACACAATCCAGTTCGCAGCAAAGGGAAATCTCCTAAGCTTCAAGCTAAATGGGACGGACCGTACCGGATTGTGACAAGGATCAATGACGTAACCTACCGGATACAGAAAGGTGCCAGAGGTACTCCTAAGATCGTCCATGTGGACCGACTGGCACGTTATTATGGGGCCAATAATGCTCGGGACGAGCATGTCTTAGGAGGGGGCAGTGTTGCGCGCCACTATTAATGTCTTGTACATGGCAACACTAGTTACACTAGCGCCCCCTAGTGTCGAGTAAATGAAAGTATTGCGTGCCACTATTAATGTCTTGTACATGGCAACACTAGGTACACTAGCGCCCTCTAGTGTCGAGTAGTAGAACTAGGAGAGTCAAGATCCTTCCAGAAATTTCGGGACCGATATGTACTCGAACATTCTAGATGTCGCTACAGTAGAAGATTCTGGAAACTATCTGAGGCCCTATATAAGGCCGGTATAGACCACGACCGAGGCAGTATTGAATTGGCGATACAAGAGAATACTTCGAAGCGAAATAACGGCGAACTGTGTTTTATTATTAGTGTGATTTTAGATTGTAATTAGTGTTGTGTAATTAAAGTGTCAATTTTGGTAATTCAATCGGCAGTTTTTAATTGTCTCGAACCCCAAGATCGTAACAATATTATCAGCACATACCGACTCTGAAGAAGCTGGTATTGAATGCTGACACTCACATTGATGTTTAACTAAGGAGTCAAAACGCTCCTCATTATATTTACATGTTTTTACCAGATTATCCATAGCCAGTATGTGTTCTTTTATTTCGTTTTGGGCTGATTTATATTTATTGGACACAGTTTAAAGGGAGTTTGTAAGAGATAATATTTCTGATTTAAGGCACTCTACGTCAGTCTCATAACATTTTTTAATGTTATCCACCTCAATTGAATACAACTTAAGGTCATATATCAATGCTTGCTTTTCTTTATATAAACTAACATAATTTTTGGTATTAATCTTATTTTTTATTAATTTTTGTACTTTCCTTATGTATTTATTAACTTTTATATACTTCTTAAATTTGGTTTTACTGCAATTAATCCTTACTACGTAGTACTATTATTTATTCTGTGTCCTTACAGAGAGTTCTTTATTTACTTGTATTCAGTTGTTATTCAGTAATTTAGTTAACCTACCGCTATATTTTAATATGATATTTTTTTATAAAATAAGTGTGACTAACGACCACACAGTCTACCTGATGGTAAGTACTTTGGCCCATAGATATCTACATCTATCCTCGATTATAAATCAAAATTCAGAATGCGTTCTCACTCCTGAGGACTAAGACGGAATGCCTCGTTAACCTCGTTTACAGTAAAAAGTGTCGCCGGTTCTCTACACTCACTAGTTTAATACTATAAGACACTCACCATTAAGCTGCTATTTCACACTGGGATTCTCTGAGAGTGTGGCCCTTGCGCGGTCGAGCTGACCTATTCGTGCTACAGCAAAAATATAGTTGTATCGTGGCTTTATACGATATAACTAATATTTAGTTATTATTAGAAAGATGCTCCTGCCTATCTCCTAACTTGTATTCCTCTGTCGCCTCTTTCGACATCTGCGGGACATTATAGGACAGTGGATATTCTTACACCGCCACTACACAAGATTAAGTAATAATGTGAGCTAATACCTATAATAATAATGAACCTGTTGTTCTAAATTATTCGAATTTTATTCATCTTATCCCGTGTTGACGATTAGATATCGCTTATCAAATGTGATAATACCTCCCACCTGCGGTGGGATTGTATAACTGATGGGATATAATTTACAAAATGTCGTCGTATATAATTGTATAGTATACTAGCTATCCGCCCCGGTTTCGCATGGGTGATTTCTGAATCTCGACAACAGCGCCACCTACCGGGTGCAATTTTGAATCTAAGCCATAAAAAAGCTAGGGACCCACTCAAACACAGCTGTTTAGGAGGAGTTCAGTGACAAACAGAAGAATTATAATACATATAAAGATAACTTTTGCTTCGGCATGGTCGTAAGCAATTATTTTTCCAAGGTGGGGCCAAGTGGACACTGGACTTGCAAAGCACTGCTTAGTGTTTAACGTAGTTGGAATTTATTCTCGAGTGGAGTTGGTCTTTGGGGAGGCACTAGATTTTATAGGAGGGACCGCTACTTTCTAGCTAAGCTTATGGGTTTCGGCTGATATAATCACGGAGCAAATAACAAACACAAGGAAAACAACCTAACTGAAGGACCGTGCGAATTATTTTAGCATTGAAGATAATATTATTATCGTTTATTTTCAAAGATACGTAATATAGATTATCTACTTATCTTTTTTATTCCACTATCACGAGACTAGCGTGCAATAATCTTGGAAATTACTAACAAAACGTGTGCAAAGGCAGAAATATTAAAAACAATTGAAGGCGATAACCTATAAGCAGTGTTGCCGATTTGTGGGGAATTCCCCAAACTGCGGGGAATATCAAGTTGAACGGGGATTTTTTGGGGACTGGCATTATTCGGGGAAAATGTGGGGATTTTAACATCTTACTACTTAACTACTTTTGCGAGGATTCCAAACATTTTAATTTTTTTTTAGTTTATATACTTATGGATAACGGACGAGTCAATACTCTTCTTTGCGCCATATTTAAATTTCGGCATCTTTATTCTTTTGCCAATCGTAAAATTGTTTTGTGTATCTTTTAATGTTTTTAGGTTTTATACATTTCCTTCTACAGATTTGGTGTTTATTCCGGATTCATTAAAAATACTCTGACGACATCTAGTGGCTATTGTGAATATTAATATAGAATTTTCATGGACTTATATAGTTTGTGGTTCAGTTTCTTTTTTTATCTGTAGCAGTATATTCCATTAAAAGGCTACTTAACAGAAGCAGTCTTCTCAGATTCGTCGAAGACTACCGAAGAAATGCTGATTACAATTAACAACCAATTCACTGTGGTATATTTGGAATTCATGTCTTACGTACTTGGACTGGTAACAAAATTCAATGTCTTATTTCAATCAGAAAAACCCCTTCTTCACAAATTGAAACCAGAAGTCGAAAACCTTTTGAAAACATTGTCTTCTAATTTCATGAAAATTAGATATATCAAGTCCTGTGCTAATATTTTAAACGCAGACTTAAAAAATCCAACTATTTACTAAGTTCAAATGAAATATATATTGGATCAAAGGCTGGAGAAAGTATGGAAAATTTAAAAAATGATGAAAATTTACCTCGTGCTGCTATTTCAGATTTCTATAGAACCTGCCAGGAGTTTTATATTAAATTGACATCAGACATTACCCAGCGATTTGATTTCGGGGATGTTTTATTTTCTATTATATCTGCTGTAAATCCATCAGAAGCTAAACAGTTTTTGTGTTTTATAAATTTGTGACCGCAAAAAAATTGGATGACGAGTGGCGAACTCACGCATTGTTAAATTTTGATCAACATGGGCTTGAAATATCATGGTGATAACATCGAAGCCGAAAGTTACTGGGGTAAAATGTTTCGTCTTAAAAATGATTAGGGAGAATACATGTTTCCAAACATAAAAATTGTTACGTCTTTGTTGCTCATACTGCCATTGAACATTGTCATACTCGAACGCATCGGTTGATAGAAAATTTAGTGCGCTTTGATATTTAAAAAAATAAAACTGCAATCGGCTAAATACAGATACTGTAGTATCTTTAATGGCAACAAGAGAGGGGATAAAAAATTGGGCAGCAGTGTCAAGCTTAACAATCCTTCGATCAAAATACTTACATCAAACGTATGAAAAAAGTTTAAAAAATAAATATTATTTAAATAGTTAAAACTTGTCTCATTGTTTAAAATAATATTGTGGGGAATTTGTGGGGAATCAGCAGATTTTTGTCCCCAAATTTGGGGAATTTAATTCGGATTTTTGGGGAATTACATACATTGGCATTGGCAACCCTGCCTATAAGTACAAACATCGAGTACGTAGACGACTGTTTGCCCTTGTGCTCGTCGTTTGTGCCACCACAACTGCACCACACGAAACATACATAATTCATTTCAAAACCAGTCCAGCGCGGTGTTACAAGTGGTGCGGTTGTGTACACTAAATTTTGTATTTTTTTTTTACTTAAATCATGGTGAAAATTCACAATTTCGGTGCTGGACCAGCGAAATTGCCTGAAGAAGTAAGTTTGTTTCCAAATTTTTATTAAATACAATATTTTGTTTATTTAAACGCTGATGGTTTGCTTATTCCTTGTAGGTATATGATATAATCAAAAATGAATTGACTAATTTCGATGGCACGGGAATAAGTTTATTGGAAACCAGTCATCGCTCTCAAACTTATTTCAAATTAAATGCAGAAGTACAAGATATCGTAAGAAGATTATTGTACGTATGATTCTATTATATTTAATTATTTTATAAATCGAAATTATACATACGAATAGTGTTGATTTTTAAATACAAGCTGTCCATGACGTAGATACAATAGTTAAAAATATTGATAGCAAAGAAATTGTTAGCAGTAAGGTATCATGTTAATTGTAATTGCTCTCATTTATTGATAAAATGTCTTAAATAATCATACACTTATATGTTTTATGTAATTGGATTTCCTGTTTAACATACATGAAATACGAGTAACAATTAGTATCAGGGGTTACTATATTTTGCAGAACAAATCATTATATACGAAATTGCCGTTTTTTATGAAATAAGTTAAAGCAATTTTTTTATATTTTTTATTTCTATTAATCAAAGTAATCACCCATGCAATCGATGCATCTTTGCCAATGCAGTGGCAGTTTATTGATGCCCTTCTTAAAGAAATCAGCTAGACGGGAGGCAACAGATTCTTCAAAGATATTTTGTACTGCCTCTCTGGTATTGAATTTTTTTCGAGCGATTGACCAAAGATGGTTGGAAATGTGCGAGCTTCTCCATCATTGTGCTCAGTTCTTCACAGTACAAATGTGCAGTAATGCTCATCCCGTTTGATAAAAAGCTATGATGAATCACACCGGCGCTAGACCACCAAACAGTGACTATCACTTTTCTAGGGGCCAGTTTTCGTTTAGGGCATTGTTTAGGTGCTGAACCAGGATCCAAACAAATTGCTGAGCGCTTACGATTGTCAAACAGTATTCATTTTTCGTGGCAGGTAACAATGCGGTTCAAAATTCTTTCGTTTGTGCGCCTGTTGAGCAGTCCAAGGCACGTCTTCGCGTTCGCGCTGGCGATCATTGAGTTCGTGGGGCACCCATTTGTCAAGCTTTTTTACCTTGCCTATTTGACGAAAATGGACTAATATTATTTTGATGCTAACGTTGAAAGCTGCTGCTAATTCAGCCGTTGATTGAATATCATCAGCTTACACAATCGCATTTAAGTCTTCAGTGTCGAACAAAGTTTTCGGATGACCACGGGGTTACTTTTTTATGTCGAAATTTCCAGAACGGAAGCGGGCAAGCCAATAATAGGTGGTGCGTTCGTTTGTAGTAATTGCTCCGTAAACGTCGTAGATGTTGCTTGCTGCTTCTACCGCGTTGCTGCCACGTCGGTACTCATATTCCATAATTACTCGAATTTTTAACGTATCCATGATGACGAAAGAAGATTCAAATGCGATTAAAACATAACGCTAATCAATAAATAAATGACTAATTTTGAAAATACAATTCCATGTTTTTAAAATAAGATTAATTTGAATTAGAATTCTTAGCCAAACAAAAATTATTTTGATTTGAAATGGCCAGTACTGTAGAATGGTAATTTCATATGTAAATACCTATTGATATACCTCATTAAAGTTAGTTAATATTACAGTCTATATACGTCCCACTGCTGGGCACAGGCCTCCTCTCATTTCTAAAAGAGTTTTAGGACAAGGAAATGTCTGCTGTGTTGCCCTAATGCGTGTTGGCGTACTTTACATGTCTTCGAAATATTTTTTTTCTTTCTCAGACATGCAGGTTTCCTCACGATGTTTTCCTTCACTGCCGAGCACGTGGTAAATCAACACTTGAAATTGCAATTAACAATTTCAGGATCGAACCTGGTTAGCTCCCGTACTGTGAAATATACAGTGAGCGCTAACCTTCTGAGCTACCACGGCTCTATATACCTCATTAATTAACCTATATTATATTTGGCTATATAAAATGCTGCTGATGCTTTATCGAGATATACTTTAGCCTTTAGGATCTATTCTTCTGAGAGGAATTCCTTCTCAGTTACTGACATCTTGAAATTTATTACGTTAGATTGGCAAAAATTGACAAAAGTAATCATTCGGGTGAATTAATATTGTACCCAGGATCATCTCCTTTCTAGGATTTTTTAAGGGTTACCAGTACCGTCTTGAAATTTGGTATTCATGTTGTGACTGAATAGGAAGTTTTAACTACAATTATGACCTGATGCTGTAGACAGTAGTAATCGGTTTATTGTTTGTTTTATCGAAGAAAAGGAAATTTAAAAGAAGATACCGCGGAAAATGGTGTAAAACATAGTTACTGCAAAGAAAACAATACAGTCTCGTCAACTTATTGAAAGAATAAAAATTTGAGGGAAAGGATTTCTGCAATTATTTACGAGCGGATAAAAAGACGTATTTTTAACTGTTATCAGTGGTGGCTCCTTTAATTTAAAAGCAGGATACAGTAATGAGAAAAGCTACATCGCCTCATGAAAGGCTAACAATGGCGTTAAGATACCTTACAATAGGGAGTACATACGAATGCCTCAAATACTCTGCCATGTCATGACATGCCACAACTGACGCCTGCGCATGCGATCGGCACACACGCTCAGTTTTGCTTGCACAGTTAAACTACACCGGTATACTCCTGGGCAAAAACATCATTATTCATATATTTGCGGGTTGTCTATAAGTGCGGAAACCTGCAAAATTATGCAACACACACGCTCCGGTTTACCTGTACAGTCGGACTGTAAACCTGTCGGGTACACCCTAACATATATTTAAAAATTTTAACTTTGAAATTAAAGTACGTCTAAGAACGCTTAAAATATTAGTTTTAAATGAAATTAAAGAAAGTCTAAAGTACATTAAACATACATCAAAGTTCATTTAAAATTATTTATCTACTTAAAGAACTTTAAATGAATTTAGAAAATACTAATATCAAAATAGCCGTAATAACTCAAAGAAAATTATCAGCACGTCACAGAAGTCGTGTAACAAAAGAGATTCTCGTGCGGAAGCCTCATACCGATAAATTTCAATTATTGGAAAATTTCCAATTAAATAAACGAAAAGATAATTTGTGCAAGTTTTCGGGACGTTTGTTGATGTATGTATTCAAAACTCTATGTACTCGTACTTTAAGAATCAAATTAAAAACTATTAAGCCATTTGACGGATTTTAAAATAACATTTGATTTTGATCTTGATCAACGCCGGGGTAACTAATTATTATGCTATTTTTTAATTGTATCAACTATCAATATACTAATTTATACTTATCTTCACGCACAATCCCTGACGGGGTAGCCAGAGAGAACAGATCGCCAAGTGTCACGATCCTTACATATCTCTTTCGCTTCTTTCAGATTCATTATCTTCTTCATACATGCACGTCTAGGTATCCGAGCACTCTTGACCCTACCCTCTTCGAGCAATTTGCTCACATGGTCTTCGAAAGTTAGTCTCGGTCTACCTCGACACCTTTTAATATTAACTTTCGCGCTATATATTTTCTTCACCATTCGGTCTTCACTCATTCGCTCAACGTGCCCAAACCACCGAAGCACGCCCTTATCAATTTTTGTGATAAGGTCATCTTTCAAACCTGCCATATTGCGAATCTCTTCGTTTCGCTTTCGGTCGGCCATAGTAACGCCGCACATTTTACGAAGAGATCGCATCTCCACTGCATTCAACTTACTTTTATGCTTCTTCTGGCATACCCAGGTTTCGCTGCCATATAACAAAGTCGGTACCAACACTGCGTTATGTATTGCAAGGCGTGCACTCTTCGCTACGCCTTGCCTTTTGACTAACGCAGTCAGGGCACCATTGACTTTGTTCCCGGCAGCGACACGCCTGTCCACATCTAAATCACATCTTCCATCCCGGCTAAAAGCACTCCCCAAGTATACAATTTCATTTACCTGTTCTAGACATTCCTGATTTACCCATATTTCACACTTCGTTCTCTCTTCGTCCCTTTCAAATACCAGAACCTTAGTTTTATTAGCATTATAATTTATAGAGTCAGTTATGTATCTATTTAAATAAATTAAATTGGAGTGTCTATTTGTAATGTCAAAATTACAGCTTTTTATTAAATGCATATGAAGCTATATACGATACTTATAACAAATACACAATTTTTTAAATTTTAGTTTGATGTCTGTTTGTTCCGGCTGATCTCCGAAACGGCTGAACCGATTTTGACGGGACTTACACTGGCAGATAGCAGATGTTTTAAGGAGTAGCTTAGGCTACATATATTTTAGAAAAAGAATTAGAGTTCGGCGCAAAAAAATTAAAACCCACGAAATCCAATCGTAATAAATTACACGCGGGCGAAGTCGCGGGGAACAGCTAATATTAAAATAAATCCTATACTTAAATGATTTTAAGTTAACACCACACTTATCTAGTAAGGCTTATAAATTTATATTAATTTTGTAAAGCATACAAACCGCAACGGTTTACGTCTTAAATTTTGCCCATGAGGCATGGGCACAATTTTTGTTACGGAACACTTGAAAAATAGTACGATTTCGTATTCCAATTACGATTCATATTCCAGTCATTAAGATACAACACTAATAATAAAGCCAATTTTACTTCCAAGCCATACTGGAATACCACTTTTACCATTACAGCCTAACAAAAAATATCATGGAGGGTTATTAATTTGGACTTTGCCTATTATTCGTTAATTTAAAATTGCAAAATGACAAAAAATAACCAAATTAAGAGAAAAGGAAAAATTTTACAGGAAAGAAACATTTTTGTACTTAATATTTTACTATTTTTATTTTCATATTTTTATTTTCATAATAAATAGGCTCCTAATCTTAATTTGTCTTCCGAGTTTATACCATACATGCTCTATAGGGTTGTCAGACAGACGAGCGCAATGGCCACCCCGTAGCATTGATTTCAATGTCTCGAAAGTATTCGACAACTACGGCCACAGTATGGAGGCGTGTATTATCATTCATAAAAAACTTCTTCCAAAAAGTCAGTCACATATCGTGCCTCTGTTAGTGGCCCATTCTCAATGACGGGGATTTCAGTACGTGCCCTCATACAAATACCTCCCCGTACCATAACTGACCTATCCATATACCTCTTTTTCAATGATGTTGCATTGAGCGTACCTCTCTCGACTCTCTCCAGACTTTAATCTTCCTATCATCTGGCTTAAGGTAAATCTGTCTGGACTCATCTGTGAATAGAACTTGACTCCAAGTTTCGAAAAAACAATTTTCGTTTTTGCGAGCAAAATCAACTCAAGCCACTCGATGGCATGTGGCAAGAAATTGCCTCCGCGAGACAAGTGTGAATTTATTTCAGTCCCGACAGTTATTGTGCTTGTAACCCCTCGAACTTCTTGAAGCTCGTTCTAACTTTAGAAGTTAAGGTCCGGTTTGTAAGCACGCTGGTAACGATGAACCGGTCATCTCTGATCGCAGTTTTCTGTACTGCGAGTTTCAAATAATGTCCGCTCTGCCGATAAATCTTGGCAACTCGGTGTACCACAGATTTTGATACTCGTAATGTTTGAGCCACATTTTTATAAGTGTTTCAATTGTAGTAACAGCCCTAGCACCTTGAGTGACGTTTAGATTGGCATTCTCAGTTTATTTGCTGTAACAATTCGCACTTAACACGATAAACAAGGAAGTTAAGGCAAAAATTTAAACAAATTTTATGAAAGAACATTCCAAAATTTTTTTTAATAGGCTTTAATTAGCATTAGGTATGTAACCAGTACGCACGAAAATTAAACAAGAACAGGAGAAATTAAAACTTTTTTTGACTTCTTCTATATTTATCCACGAGTGTAGTCTAAGGCTCCAGATTACGTAAGATTGAAATAAACTATATAGAATTTTAAACTTTCAACTGATATTTTTCTAAATGAGTTAGTAAATTCGACAAAAAAGATACCACTGAAAGAAAAAAGAAAGAAACAATCAATTTTATTCTAATTAAAGCAAACAACACAAAATATTAAAAAATAAATAAAAGGCAAATAAAATGAAGTATTAACTGTAACTTAAATAAAAGAAAGGCTTTTAAACAAATCCTGTCCTTAACATGACATGAAACTGCGAAATAGACCGCGGTCTCAGGGAAAGTACTGGTTTTCAGGCCGGACCATAAGTGCGCCTGAAGCACATGAGGAAAGAAACGAATCAATTCGAGCGACTATGTTTACATTCGTAGAATGTAATAATAATAATAAATGTTTATAACTGCACTAAAAGTAGATTTAGCCTTTCTTATTAAATTAAAATATGAATCTACAAATATATGTAAAAAAAATTGAACGTAAAATAAACATAGTATGTATAATATTTCTCAATTAGGTACCTAATGACTTTTTCCATAGTAGAAGTAATTAGTTTTAATTATAAAATCTTTGCTATATAATAAGTGCGCCCACAGAGTACCTTATGCACACAGCGCGCCATATCGGACTGAGGCCACAAGTTAACTTAAAACCCGTACAGCATAGAAAGTTAGAAAGTTCCACAAAACTGCAACTTAGAAATTCTAATGCATGTTTACTCTAGATTCTATCGCAGTTCTCATTCACTTGACAGTGTAACTACACTCGACGTCGCGTGAAACACAGAAAAGGCTTTCTTCAGAGCTTAAGTTTTTACCATAAAACCCCTACTTGTAACACAGTATCTATTTTAGTATACTGCATTATTTTTATGTAATTACTCCAAGACTCTATGCTAAGACTATTTAATGTAATCGACGTAGATTTATCACTATCTTTAGCATAAAATTGACATTTATAGTAGTCTTTAATTTTTTTAGTTTACACAATTATGAGCGTTGTGTTTTGTAAATAAATATCTTTTATCATTATTTCAATCATAATTATTAAAGACAACCGCCATAAAGTAACAATTAATCCCCTTTTTTTTAAATATTTTTCGCACAATCACTATTTATTTATAATTTTAGAAATGTACCGAGTAACTACAAGATTCTATTCATGGCTGGCGGTGGTCAAGGTCAATTTGCTGCTGTACCCCTGAACTTGATATCAAGAACTGGAACAGCTGATTATGTTGTGACAGGTATGCGTTAAACATAAATTATTTGATATTTAAATAGTACTTTTATAGGGAAACTTTATTATACATTGAGTTATATGTACTACGTACTAGAGAAGCTGTGTACTACTCTATGTGTTCGCTCATGCGCGGGATATAGTAGAGTCGCGTATGCGCGATGACTTTAGATATTAATATAAAATAAATATAAGAATTTAATATAAAATACTCTTATTTTAATCTAAACAAACATATTTCTAAATAAAATGTAATTATAATTATCTTATGGAATCAGAATCAGAATCAGAATTTTTATTTGCGTAAGAACCTTCACAAATCTTCAATTTACGCAATATTTAGTTTAGTGTACGGATTGCAGTACAGTTCAGTTGAACATAGTCAATGTTCGGAATGCGAAATCTAGTGCGTAGTACATATATATCGATGTTATTATAAAATGTCGTGTTCACTTCTGAAAATGTCACAGTAATCATTTTGATTAGATGAAATTGAATAGAAACAGTTTCTTGTGCAGTTCTATCTGGCATCTTCTTTAGTAGTAAAGTAGAGCATAGGCTTGTGCCCGTCTGATGGATTTAAATTGGCCATCGTTGTGAAATATTATTAATAACAAAAAGTAGTGTAATCAATGTTAGTAGAAAAGGATATTAAGAATCTGAATCTAGAATTGTGCGTTTGTGCACACTGCTTTCACTGCTAAGAACGTAATATTTGATACTTGTAAAAAAAATTAATGCAGGAGGCATAGCATTTATAAAGCCAGAAATTACTTAATCCCAGACTGTTTAAACATTGTACGACCCGGTTACACTAAGTTTGGCGTTGGGTTCACCATTTAGTGGTAGCGTAAGAGAAACTACTTCTCCAAGTCATCCCATGGGTGTCTTGAGAGGTGGCAGAGGAAAACCGAAACAAGATCTTTTTGATAACAATTAGATGATATTAAATAATGCAATTGCCAGCCCGCCTGCCAAGCGTAGCTACCCTGACAAATATCCCAGTTCAGCAGAGGACATTTCATAGGCTGTAATAGATAATGGGTCGCTTTACATAAATTTCCCAAAACGAATAAAGATTTTACAAACTAACAACAAAATCCTTATGACTAAATAGGGGCAAGAGGATAAGGTTTATTGTCTGGTTACCTCCCTTACAGATTGCCCCGTTTGCCAAACTTGTCATGCCTTGCAGGCGTGTTGGCAACCGCTATTTTTGTTATTTAGATTTTTACAGAAAGATGAACCGATATTTTTCAATAATAATAATTAATTGAGAAATTAAAATTGGTGGAGTATATTTTTGTGTTCATAAATTTCAAGCACATATACTTCTAAGCCGTCCACATAGCCTGGGACTTTTATTTCTGGATTCTACATTTAAGAGATAAAAATATTTTTTTTCCTGAATGGTACTATCTGAGATTATTCTTTTTACAATTATCATAATATTACTCCATACTGAAATAAACAAAAACGCTGTCCAGGCTCTCGATTCCAACTAACAATGTTCTTACTACTTTTAATAATTTCATAATGCTTAAAACACTTTCACAAGAGCAGTGTTAATTCAAGAATCAGGGGAATCTGTTTATTTAAAATAACACCTATGAAATTTTATACAATTGTAATTAATATTTAGATGTAGTCATAACATTTTAACTTTATTTCGCAGGAACATGGTCAGACAAAGCTGCAAAAGAGGCAAAAAAGTATGGAAAAGTAAACTTAGTTATACCTCCAACAGACCGTTATGTGGGCATTCCAGACCCATCGACATGGAATTTGGACCCTAACGCTTCCTATGTTCATATTTGCACTAATGAAACTGTTCATGGTAAGTTAAGGTTACCTCTAGTAACTTAATTTTACTTAACTTTCGGTTAAGCGTAATCGGAATTTGCCATCTAGGTACCAGAAAAAAATAGTTCTAATTTAAATTATTAATTAAGTAACAAATTAGGTACATTACGTCGAATGGTCATGCCTAATCTTCTGTTTTCTGAGAGGTTTTGGAACATGGAAGAATCCACTGCGCAACCCTATGCTGACTTCACATGTTATCAATATTTTATAATTTTCCCGGACATGCTGGTTTTGGACGATACTTTCCTTATTTATAAGCCAACAGTTAAAATGCACTTGTCAATTTTATCGATGCCACTACGGATTGACCAGATATTATGAAACATCAGGTGGGCACTCAGTCCCTAATGATGATCATCTTTTATAACCAAATTGTCGTAATATTCCTTTTACATTTTTATTGCTCCCTTTCTTATATTGTATCTATAACGCATACAGCAGGTAAGTTCTAAGGACGTATAATCTTAATTTATAAACATATCCTTTTGTTCTGATGTTGGGAAATATTTAACACTTTCTCTTTTTCAGGTGTTGAATTTGACTTCATACCAGATACAAAAGGTGTGCCTTTGGTTGCAGACATGTCATCCAATTTTATGTCCAAAAAAATAGATGTTTCTAAGGTAATTCATTATATAATTTATTGTTCAAATATACATTTTCATTCCTATACTATATAGGTATTTATGTATTTAACTATTGACTATTATATTATATTAAATATTAACTATTGGAATATGATTATTTTCTCACGTTTTCAAACTAAAGATAAAAGTATCGTGGACTGGACGTAAATTGGTCATGAAATGATATAATTAAAAAAACAGGTTTATGTTTTACTTCATATCATTTGTTATGGCATAAATTAATGATAGTTAAAAAAAATTGAAAATTAAAAATTATATACAACCGACTTCAATATAAATTATTAAGAATAACTCAAAAATTATTGGCCAGACATTGATCAATTTATATGGGACCACACGTAAAGCACCAGCTTTCAAATAAAAAAAGAATCATCGAAATCGGTTCACCGAGTAAAAAGTTATGAGCTAACACACATAAAAAGAAAAATACAGTCGAATTGAGTACCGGCTCCTTATTGAAGTCTGTAGAAAAAGAAAATATACATTATAATACATCGGAAAAAGTTCACGAGGCTTAACCTACATGTTATGTTATGTTATGTTGAAAATTGACTGTACTTATTATTATTTCGGCAAGTTGTTAAGCAAAATCAATTTTTGAGCTATTCTAAAATGTTGGCGAAAGATAATGATTAATTTTAAACCGCTGAAGAACCAACAAAATATATTTGTCGCTATCCACAAAACAACTTGGTTCGTGTTATAATAAAAGAAGATAATACAAGAACGTGAAAATTATTGGAAGCTTATCACCTGGTTTTTTTCCTAAAAATATTTCTATTAGAATAAAACAATCTTTATCGGTAGCTAGCAACTATTATCATCAAATCTTATTTCGTAACAGTTGTAATTTTTTGTCTATGCTTATCTAACCTTATATCTATTTAATATTAAAATAACAAAGAAATTCTCCTACTCTGTGGTGGCGGTGTACGAAAATCTATCACATTCACTCCCATTTCTTTCCCTAGGCGTCGTAAGAGGCGACTAGAGGAAACGCCAGAAAAATTTTATGGCTTACAAACAGACGTTTACGTTTACGTCAGACATAAAATAACCAGATCGGCGACGGGTCGCAGCGTCAAACGTACGAGACGTTTGCTACTGCCACAGAGGAAATACAAAGCAAATACTTTGTATTTGCTTCGTGGGTACTGCGGTAATTAAATATCCGCCTGCCGAGCGTGACGATTAAGGCAGATCGTACTTAAATCGAAAGAGGCTCATGTCCAGCGATAAAGAAAAGAAATTCACAATTCACCTCACGGTCAGAAGTTACAACAGCTCTCAGTTCATGGATCCCATTGAAGCCACTTCTAACAAAGAACACTGAACATTAATAAGGAGTACAATTACTCGTATGTTGTAATGTCGTAAAAGGTATCTTTTTAGGTACCTAATACTGAAATTCAAATTGCAAGAAATTTTAATCAAAACAAAACATTATGTTCCATGGGTGGAAAGAAAAAAAAGAGTTTCTCTATTCATCGGATTATTTTTATTTATATTTACCGATTACTCAAAGATGCCAGAAACTTCCCAGGTGGCCCCATTTAAGTTTTATCGAAATCGGTTGAGGGGTTTTTAAAAAATCATCAATAAATTATATTCATATTGAAGTAATTTGTACAAAATTTTATATTTACCATTTGTTAACAATAAGATTTATTATATTATGCCTTATTTTCCAGTTCGGTGTAATCTATGGTGGAGCTCAGAAGAATATTGGTACTTCAGGTGTTGCCCTAGTCATTGTGAGAGAAGATCTATTAAATCAAGCCTTACCTATATGCCCATCGATTTTGGATTGGACAGTTACTGCTAAAAATGATTCAATATTAAACACACCACCTATGTTTGCGTAAGTAAATGAAATCCTATAAAGTGACATAACATTCACTTAAACATAACATTCACTTTCACCTAATTTCGTGTCACCTATTTCGTAGGATTTTTATGGATTGCCTGTTAATTGCTTCACTACAATTGCAATTTTTTGAAATGTTTTTCAATGTATTCTGCGGCATAGGTTGTTTTTACGTCACTAAGATAAAACGAGTAGAAATAATGTGTATGATGTAAATCTTAAATTATTCTCAAATTATTATCTCAAAAAGTTCAAAGTTTGCTTACATTTATTTAAATGTTACGTCAGTGTCTGTAAATATTGCGATGACCGCGATGACCACGGTCATTTATTGAGTGTCGTCTGGTTTCTTTTGTTTCTAATTGTTTTCTTTTACATTTAATAAAAAACTTCATGAATGTTTGTGAAAAAAAACAAAATTATATATTTAGAATTGAGATGCCTATTAAAATTTCTATAGCCCTTGTAAGCTAAAATTTGATGAGTAGGCTGGGTTTTAACAAAATGATGCTCTAGAAACTAAACGAAAAAGCGTAGGAGAAATTGATGTACACTTCAATTCGCATTCGATTTCATAATTATTTATAAGAGTAAAAGCGTCATGATGCTATGTAATAGTTAACTGTCTAGTCTTATTAAATGTAAAAATTATGCCCGATAATAAGATGAAAGGAAGAGACTAATATTGATATCAGAGGATCAAAAACAATTACAGTAGCGATATACGTATTCAAAAACGAAAGTTTTTATTTTACAAATGATCACTAGGGTTGGTGTTCTCAGAGTCCACAATTATGTATTTTTTATATACATAATTTCACCCTTTTTCATACTTTCTTTTTTATTTTTGCTACTGCCTCTTATGTATCTATCTTTATTTAGCCTAATGGTTGACAGGGAGAGAAATGGGACAATGCCCTGTGGCATTAAGCGAGCCATATGTACTACTTTGTGCATTAAAGTATATATAAATAATAAATTGAGTGAGTTCATTGTCCTTACACGTGATTGACGTAATTTTACATAAGCAGAACAACAGAAAAATCTTATCGCTTTGTTTTTTGTAGTTTTATAGCTCGTTATATTATTTTTTATAGATACATCTATCCACCCAGATAAGACCCCGTGGTCTTATACATCCGTATGTATATTAGGTATTTCGTAATACAATAAGACTGTCATTGAGTAGCGTCAGCATTAATAATTATTTATAGTGATTGCTCTGAATTGCCTTGACACACTTTATTTTATTCTGTACATTTTATAGGTTTAAATTATAGCTGTTACTAATCTGAGTCACTGTTGATGCATTTTCACATTATCATACTAGAAATCAGAAATACTTATTTCAACTTCATAATTTCAAGAGTTTTGTTTGCATTAATTACCAAATTCGGGAGTATTTTCTTTCGAGTGAGGAATTTTTTTATAGATTTAGCTTAACAAACGAGCACCAGTCCACCTGATGGTAAGTGGGTGCTGTGGCCCATAGACACCTACATTTATCCTCGATTAAGAATCAAAATGCAGATGCGTTGTCACCACTGAGGATTAAGATGGAATGACTCGTTTCAAGTAAAAAGGGTGTCCGGTTCTCTACACTCACCATACAGAACACAGCAGCAATAAGCTGCTATTTTACACTGATATTCTGTGAGAGCGTGGTCCTTCCCCGGTCGAGCCGACCCATTGGTGCTGCAACCGTAATATAGCTACAGCGTGGCTCTACCACGTATGAAACGGTCTACGGTCTCAGTTTTATTATTAATATTGTTGCGCGCCACTATTAATGTCTTGTACATGGCAACACTAGTTACCACTAGCGCCCTCTAGTATCGAGTAGCAGAACTAGGAGAGTCAAGATCCGCCTAGAAATTTCGGACCGATATGTACTCGAACATACTAGATGTTTCTACAGTAGAAGGTTCTGGAAACTATCTGAGGCCCTACACAAGGCCGGTATAGACCATGACCGAGTCAGTATTGAATTGGCAATACAAGATAATACTTCGAAGCGAAATAACTGCGAACTAAAGTGATCAGTAGTACAATTGTGTTTTATTATTAGTGTGGTTTTAGATTGTAATTAGTGTTCTGTAATTAAAGTGTCAATTTTGGTAATTCGATCGGCAGTTTTTAATTGTCTCGAACCCCAAGCTCGTAACAATATATTTTTTCTTACTTTTTATTTCGTGCTAGGCACAGCAATCTGAATCAATACAATCAACTGCTAAACTTAGCACAAGAGAGAGCAAAGACGAAAGCCATAAATATTTTTATAGTATAAGGGTGACAAACGAGCTTACAGTTCACCTGATGGTAAGCGGTCGCTGTGTATCTACATCTATCCTCGATTAAGAATCTAATTTCAAATGCTTTGTCACTCTTGAGGACTAAGATAGACTGCCCCGTTTCCAGTTAAAAGGGTCACCGGTTCTCAACACTTACCATTGGGAACACAACATCATTCAGTTGCTTATACACTGATATTATGTGAAAGCGTGGTCCTTTCTGGGTCGAGCCGACCTATTCGTGCTACCACCATAATAATAAAATGTCTTTATATAAAACGATAAATGTAGGTATTAATATTTTTATCTGTTTGTTTCAGTATTTACGTCATGGGCAGAGTACTACAATGGATAGAAAGAAAAGGTGGACTCGACAAAATGGCGGAGCTAGCAACAAAGAAATCTTCATTAATTTACAACGTTATTGAACAATCTAATGGTTTCTACTACGCCCCAGTTGCTAAGAATGCGAGAAGTAAAATGAATGTACCGTTTAGAATAGGTTCTTCAGAAGGTGACGAAGCACTGGAGAAAGAATTTTTGAAAGGAGCTGAGGCACAAGGTCTGATTCAACTAAAAGGACATCGGTAAGTAATTTTCCTATCATCTCCCCGTTGACAGTTCACTGATAAAGATGAGCATTTGCCATTGTAGAAAGTATTTGTGGTAATCACATGCCACAGTCAACTTGGCACCGCTGGAGGGACTGCAGCACCGCCCAAATTTTGACGGAATCAAAGGCAAAGTGGCAGATTGTACTATTTCGGTTGTAATAATGTGGGTTTTTAGGAGTTTAAAATGAAAGACATGTTTCAAGTAAGGCAGTCCAAGGTATATTATCAGAAAAGGGGGGAAATATGTTCACACATACAGTTCACACGCGGAGAGGGGATTGCCTTTTACACGTCCGTGGGACCATTTTCTTGCTTACATTATTTTGATCACATTACAATGCTCCCGAAAAGTATAGGTTACCCCCATTTCATAAAAAAAAAATTTAACCTATGTACAATCAACATTACAAACATTAATTAATAATTACAAACTCATTTTTTTACCAACATTACACTAATAGTGGACTAATTAATAGTATACTTACGAACGGTGGATATATCGTCGGACGTCTCGTGCTTTTGACACTACCTCTGGTTTGAACTCTGGTTTGAAGGTCAGCCTGTATGTATAATTAAAGGTGGTAAATCATTTCATCTTAGTCCTGAGAGGTGAAAAACAATCTGTAGCCTTCTTTTTTGAAGTTAGACTATCAGATGGACTGCTAGCTCATTAATAACTCAAATATTATTTTAAAAAAACACACGACTGTGTGTGTGTGTGTGATAAGTGAAAATCGATATTTTAGAAACAACTTTTCTCGTAGTCGATTTCGTCCACGGCGCCAACTTTGGAATATTATCGAAAGTTATTTATTAAGGCGACAAAAACGTAGAATCGTTTTAATTTCTGTAATGACAGCTGACCGCGCGGATGCTGCGTGTTTAGATTTTTACCCCCAAATTATGCATACACTCGTGTACAACACACAAGTTAATTGCGTTGTGGTTGTCCGATTTTGATCAGAGCTTAGGAAAATTTAGTTCTTGGGCGCGAATGTCATTTCGAGCAGTTCATTCCACTGAGAATAAATGATTAAATAGGTTGTATAATCCACTGGCAACTGAGCTAGCCTGTTTGTTAAACATAGTTTCCCTGTTCTCAGAATTTTCAGATATACTGTATTAATCGATACAAAACAATAATTGCATCATCATGACTTAGTATTCTTACGGGAATCATCATTTGAAGCGTGTTGTTTGAGTGTTTTTAAACTTTGCTATTATTATTTTATAATGGAACATAAATATCTCTTTTAGCATGGTTGGAGGCATTCGCGCATCGATTTACAATGCAGTGACCATTGAGGAAGTGGAGACGCTAGTGAATTACATGAAAGAATTCCATAAGAAACATTCCAAGTAAACTGTTATACAGTTTTAGTACATAACTTCATATCTTTACTGTTATACTCTTTTTATAATTATTCTTGAGTGCCTTATGATAAAATGGCTGTGTTATGAAATATATTTTCTTGTAAACATTTGTCTTTTATTTTATCTATACAAATAAATAAAATTGGAGTCTGTTTGTAACGTCAAAATAACAGCTTTTCACTAAATGCATATGAAAGTATATATATGGTACTTATAACGAAAACACAATCTTTAAAATTTTTGTCTGTCTGTCCATCTGTTTGTTCAGGCTAATCTTCGAAATGGCTTGACCGATTTTGATGGGATTTTCACTGACAGACAGCTGATGTTATTTTTTTTTTTTATTTATTTATTCATAGAAAGAGTGTTACATAATTTACATTTCAAACTTTGCCAAACTGTATGCCAGTTTGTCGGCAACGCAACAGTTTATCGTTTCACACTCCTATATAACAATATAAGTTACTTATAAATACTTAAATTAACACACTCATAATTAAAGAAACACTCACTACTAAGGAGTAACTTAGGCTACTTTTGTTTTAGAAAAAGAATTAGGGTTCAAAAATTAAAAACCTAAATTACACGCGGGCGAAGTCGCGGGGAACAGCTAGTTTTTAAAATATTTGAGAACTATAGATAATGCCTTTAGATTTTTTTTTATAGGATAAGGGTGACAAACGAGCACACAGTCCACCTGATGGTAAGTGGTTGCTGTGGCCCATAGACATCTACATCTATCTTCGATTAAGAATAAAAATGCAGATGCGTTGTCACCCGTGAGGACTAAGATGGAATGCCTCGTTTCCAGCAAAAAGGGTCTCCCGTTCTCTACACTCACCATACGAAACACATCAGCGTTAAGCTGCTATTTTACGCTGGTATTCTGTGAGAGCGTGGTCCTTACCCGGTCGAGCCCACCCATTCGTGCTACAACTATACTACTAATATAGCTGAAGCATGGCTCTACCACGTTTAAATTTACAGTTGACTGTGTAGTATTATTGCTAAGTTGTGTAATAGGATCAATATTACAATCAAAAAGCTGAATAATAGGTCAATTTAAATCAAGAAATACTTATTTTTAATAATGTCGCTTGAAGAAATCTATTGTACGACTTTTGAAGATCACAATAGGGCAAAGTTAAGCTAATTCTGAGCAGCGCCTATATACTGTTATAAACAGGCATCGCGGAACGCCTCGTATGCATGAACATGAACAAGACAAAAATCATGTTTTAACGTCCATGTTTACATAAACCGGTTGTAGTTGAGAACACTACACTCGAATTTGTTGAGGAGTATGGAACAACAATATTCGAAGTAAGTCCAACTTCGATCAAGAGGTAAACCGACGTATCAAACTCGGCTGGTCTACGCATCTGCATCAATGGAACTGCAACGTGGGCCTTTATTGTTGGCCGTATGAGGTAGCTGAAGGTTCAGCGTGCAATGGAACGGGCTATGCTCGGAATTAACTCGTAACAAGGGTATAAGAGTAACTGGTAGCCCAGAGGATCAGTAAGCTGAAGTGTCAATCCATCCATCCATTACAGCCTAAGTATAAAGTACACTGCTGAACATAGGGCCCTCGCCATAGATTGCCTCACGATTTTGCCATAGTTGCCACGCTTGACGGACGGGGTCGCAACCTCAGTTTTTTTTTATTACTGCTGCCCATCTTTTCTTTTAATTTCACTCTGTGGCCTCTTATGAACTCCACGTGACGATTTGGGGTAACGGATATCTTTTACACCGCCACTACACGTTTTAAATGGGCCGACCACATAGCTCGAAGAACCGATAACTTGAAAAGTTCTCCTACTGGTAAGTGCAGTGTTGCGTGACCCGGCACTAGACAGAGTGAAGATCTAATGAAACACGCAGGTAGTCGATAGATGCAGTGCAGGTAACAGAGGTCCGACTTTAAGGCAATGTATCGGAAACGCCTATGTTCAACTGTGGTCTTGTGATGGGCTGTAGTGATAGTGATAGTGATTATAATCATATGTGCGTATGTTAGTAATGGTGTAACTTTTGAATAATTTCATCGATAGAGGTCATATTTAGAGTAAAGACGATGGTTTATAGATATGGAAGGATCCTATAGGTGGCACTTTAGTCATGTGGCAGCGCTGTAAGCATAACGCACCGAAGCCTAAATTGTGCTATCAGTTCTGAATTTAACGTGCTACATATAAAACAACTCCAAAATGACACGTAGGAAGCGTTGGCCCCTTCCCGGGCAGAACACCTTGCCCGACGGGAGATCTCCCCCTTATTCTTCCACAGCCACGGTAAAGTTATTAACAAATCTTATAATATTTCTGTAATCTTATAATGACTTATCAACAAATTTTATATTTATACTATAAAAAGTCGAGTGTATTTGGAGTGAAATTTATCAAGTCACCTGTCCAAAAGGGCAGAAAACAGTATTCCGAGCCAGTTGTGGACTCATATTTATCCGAAATCTTGAGTATTTATGGCGAAAACGAAATAACTCGTTGATTAAATTTTTATTATTGCCGCAAAAGGCTATTAGTTTTCATATTAAATATGTAGGAGTAACATTTAACGAAAATAAAATCATGTACCTAAATTCTGAGTTCTGAACGTTATTTTATATCAGAAATCGTAATACATTGTTCCTAATCATATTCGTATAACAGAGCGTTACTGGGTCAACGCGTATTAGTATTATCTGTTCTATATTGTGTAACAAACAAAATTGCAATAAAGACGAATAATATTTATTGGAATGTATGATCTTTATATAACTTATGACGTAGTGATAGACATGTGGCATATTTAGAAACAAGCAAATGTTTGTATGTTCGTTAATATTGACCTCTGATAAACTTTGATCTCACACATTAGTTATGAAAATTGGATATTGGTAGTTTTTACGAATTTTATTAGCGCGTGAAATTCATTCCTTTGTAGTCAAGTATTATTGCGGTGCATATTACAAATATAAAATTCCGCATGTGCGAAAATATTATACGATTAATAATTATTTATACTGCATACACGTTTACTTTTTAGTACGTTGACTCGTCAATTGATATTGTCGTTCTGAAATAGAAAGAGAAACAGAAAGTTCATCATGCCGTATCAATTAAACTAATAGAGGTTCGAGTCACAATACAAATCCGAAACCTTAATAAGTTAGTGTTGTTAATTAAAAGCTTTTATTTAACTTGCAATATTTGTTTACTAGGGTCAAATCTAAAAACTGAATTTTAAAGCAGTTATCCTCAACCGATTGAGCTGAAATTTTGCATATTATGTTTAGTTTGGATGACTAGCATGGTTAGCTAAGTGACGTCATTCTAAATTCAATTTGGCGGATCGCTCAAGATGAGCGACATTTTCTATGCACTCCCTTGATATGGGTATCAAATGAAAGGGTTTGCTAAGGCTGAGAAGAATACGAAAATAAAATGACGTCACTCTAAATTGAATATGGTAGACACCCAAAGATTTTTTTTTTATAGAATAATGGTTACAAACGAGCACACAGTCCACCTGATTGTAAATGGATGCTGTGGCCCATAGACATCTACGTGTATCCTCGATTAAGATTCAAAAAATGTCTCGTTTCCAGTAAAAAGGGTCTCCGGTACTTATACTCACCATACGAAACACAGCAGCATTAAGCTGCTATTTTACGCTGGTATCCTGTGAGAGTCGAGCAGACCCATTCGTGCTACAAGCAAAATATAGCTGCAGTGTGGATGTATGTTTGCCTTCATGTTTTAGTTTATCCTTTTAAAAATGTCCGTTTGCGTCTTATAGACGCTGTCCTCGGTGAGTGACAAAAACGACAACGCGTCTATTTGGCACATGGTGCCAATATGACAATCAATAGTTGTTGTTCCTACACGTGGCCTACGCATAGACTTAGAATACCATAGGTACTGGCGTAGTATATTCTAAGTCTATGGGCCTACGTGTTCACTGTCTTGTTGGTCTAGTGGTCGTAAGCGCGTCTGCTAAGGTCCTGGGTTCGAATCCCTGGTCGGACCGAAAATTAGTTATTGTGTTTTAATCCCCGACGAAAACAGATGGGTGTTATATGTTTTTTTTTAATTATATTAAATACAACATATTGTACGTAATACGAGTAACTAAAAGAGCCCTCAACAAATGGTGCTCAGAGGCGCACCGCAATGATTGCGTCACATTGAGTACACACCGGTGCGGGGACGCGACGTTTTACGTCTTGCCTGCGGCACCGCAGCACATGAGTAAATAAACGGATTCCGTCTATTTACTCATGGGACCGCAGCGTCCTAAGCAAATACAACAATAATTATTATTATTCATGTCATTGATTAATTTTTGTTTTTTTTTTTGATCTTCAGGTTTTATGTTTTTGGTCTAAAACAAGTCAAGTATTGATTTAATTTGCGTTGCTACTTATATTTAGAATTTTGTACGTTTACGTACAATACGTACGTACGTTTCATGTTTTTAAAGTACTATTTTAATTACTGCTAGTAAGAGAAGTTAGTTCGCCTTCCTTCGGGAACCCGTGCATTCTGGTCTCTCGCCAAGGCTGTCCAAGGGAACTTCTGTCAGCCATCTCTTCCATCTCTGCACAGAGAGGACGACTCACTGGCCCATGACTCAAAGGAGAAAGCCGATCTGTTGAGCTCTCTTTTTGCGTCCAACTCGACTTTAGATGACGGGGGGAAACACACCGCCGACCATCCCGCGATGTGAGTGCACCATGCCGGATGTGCAGTTTACACAGCGCTCGGTTCGCAAAGCACTCTTCTCCCTGGACGTCAGCAAATCGAGTGGGCCCGATGGAGTCCCTCCCATTGTGCTGAAGACGTGTGCTCCGGAGTTGGCGTCTTTTCCGGTACTCCTACTCCCAAGGCGTAGTCCTGAATTCATGGAAGACAGCTTTGGTCCACCCGATCCCTAATAAAGGCGACCGCTCAGACGCGTCCAACTACAGGCCTATTGCCATCACCTCCTTGTTCTCCAAAATAATGGAATCCATTATAAAATGCCAGCTCATGAGGTACCTTGAGGATCACCAGCTGATTAGCGACCGCTAGTACGGTTTTCGTCGAGATCGCTCAGCTGGTGATCTTCTAGTCTATCAGACTCATAGATGGGCGGAGTCAGTAGAGTCCAAGGGGGAGGCATTGGCCGTTAGTTTGGACATAGCGAAGGTCTTCGATCGGGTCTGGCACAAAGCGCTTCTTTCGAAGCTTTCTTCCTATGGGCTTCCCGAGAAATTGTGCAAATGGATCACCAGTTTCCTTGCTGATCGGAGCATCAAGGTCGTAGTAGACGGTGCATGCTCTGATTTCAAGCCTATCAACGCCGGTGTTCCACAAGGCTGCGTGCTATCACCAACGCTGTTTCTCGTGCATATCAATGATATGTTGCTAACTGGTAGCATTCATTGTTATGCACACGACAGCACTGGTGATGCCTTATATACCGGCGGTGCCAATATTTCTCGGGAAAACGTCGTTAAGTACCGGGACAAACTTGTGTCTGAAGTCGAGTCTTTGCTTAACAATGTCTCGGATTGGGGCCGACTAAATCTAGTCCAGTTCAATTCCTAGAAGACACAAGTTTGCGCGTTTACCGCTAAAAAGGACCCCCTTGTCATATCTCCTCAGTTTCAAGGCACTCCCCTTGCTGCCTCAGCTAGTATCGGAATCCTTGGCGTCGACATATCGAATAGTGTGCAGTTTCGTGGTCACTTGGAAGGGAAGGCCAAATTGGCCTCTAAAAAGTTTGGCATGCTCAGCAGAGCGAGATAGTATTTCATGCCGGTACATCGCTTGCAACTTTACAAAGCGCAAGTTCGACCCCACATGGAATACTGTTCTCATCTCTGGGCCGGGGCACCCCAGTGCCAGCTCCTTCCATTTGACCGCATCCAGCGCAGAGCGGTTCGAATCTTCGACGACAGAGTTCTTTCAGATCGGCTCGATACACTGGCACTGCGTAGAGATGTTGCATCTCTTTGCGTATTTTATCGCATCTATCACGGAGTGTGTGCTCTGAAGAATTGTTCGGACTAATTCCAGCCCCTCAATTTCACCATCGGACATCGCGACAAAACTCGCGTTACCATCCATACTATCTGGATGATTGGCGGTCCATCACTGTGCGATTTAGAAGAAGTTTTCTCCCTCGCACAACTTCCTTGTGGAATCAATTATCACCAGCGAATTTTCCGGACCGATACGACTTAGGAACCTTCAAGAAAAGGGCTTACACCTTTCTAAAAAGCCGGCAAGGCATCTGCAACTCCCCTGGTGTTGCGGTTGTTCATGGGCGGCGGTAGTCACTTACCATCAGGTGAGCCGCATGCTCGTTTGCCCCCTCTTCTATAAAAAAAAACCTCTCATATAAAGGTGGTTGCCGGGGAGTCTACGAGGCGGCTCAAGGCGTCGAGGATGTACGGCGATTACTGAGAGAAAAATGCTGCGGTGAGGGCCTATGACCAATACAGAACCGTCAATAATAGGTCCAATTTGCGCCGCCTCTGTAGAGAGGTCATGGGGCGCATGACCCAGCTGAGAGAGTCACGATGGGACAATCTGATGGAGGATATCTCGCCCTCGCATACAGCCTTCTGGAAGCTGGCGAGAGCTCTTTAATCAGAAAATGTCGCTTCGATGCCCCCATTAGTTAGATCTGATGGTCAGTTAGCGTTCGATGACTCGGAGAAGGCCGAATGCATGGCGGAGAGCCAATGTTCTCCAAGCACCCTGCCAATCGACCCCGTCCACCTGAACAAGGTGGACGAGGAAGCGGCTAATCTGTTCGCCACATCAACGGATGATCAACTACCTCCCGTTACTTTTGATGAGGTGAAAACCATTATCAAAAATCTCAAGCCCCGAAAAGCGCCAGGCGTTGACGGCAATAATAATACGGTCTTTAAAGCCCTTCCTCCTAGGTTAATTTGCCTCCTACTTGCTATTTTCAATGTTTTAATGTCCACCTGCATTTTCCCAAACCGAACAAATCCAAAAATAGGGCATCTAGTTATAGACCCATCAGTGTCCTCAGTGCTATGGGGAAAATCTATGAGCGCATCATCCTCAGCCGTCTGAAGGATGTCGTGCTAGATAAAAATATGTCCTTTAATATTGTTTTTGCAGCCAGTTATGCAATCTATCAGCCGTTTTTGCACCGCACTGGTATAGGTGCGTGTGCGCGGTGTGTGTGTGTGTGTGTGTGTGTGTGTGTGTGTGTGTGTGTGTGTGTGTGTGTGTGTGTGTGTGTGTGTGTGTGTGTGTGTGTGTGTGTGTGTGTGTGTGTGTGTGTGTGTGTGTGTGTGTGTGTGTGTGTGTGTGTGTGTGTGTGTGTGTGTGTGTGTGTGTGTGTGTGTGTGTGTATACCTATGTATGCGTGCGGCCCCTGAAAATTTTTAATAAAACTATATATATGGGTTTTATTCTGATTTCTATGAGTGTTTGGTATGGATAAGTTTATCATTCTTATTTTTTGATTTAGTACGTCTTAAGTAAGAATTAAACAACAAGATTTAAATACATATTAATTTATTTTCTTTTGTATAAAAATTACTGTTAACGTAGTCACTAATGTGGTAATAAATTGTGATGGAAAACAGACCGACCACCGACAAATCACAACACGGCGGAATCATTTGAGTATTGATACACAGTAGATCAGACAGAGATAAAAGAAATAGGTTTAAATATATTTATGTCAGTTATATAATACCTATAAGTACGTAATTTAATATAAATAAAAAATATTCCTGATACCTTTAAAAAGGAATGTACCTACTTACTGTAAGATAATGTAAACATGTCAAAATATTTTATTCCCTTATAACAAAAATCTATACAATTTTTCAAATAGTATCTATACAACCACACAACACAAATTGGTATAAAATACAGTTCACGTTATTATACAACAGCTAACAGTTTGTTTAATAAAACATTATGTATAACAATTACAATTTCATGATCATGTACATCTCTTATATGTAACTAAAATATTCGAATTTACTTTAAAATACTTAAACTAACACCACGAGATTTTTGAGGTCTATCATAAATATACAAGACATAACATTATTATAATATTTACACTATATTTAAATGTGAAAGTAGCTGGAATGTATAAAAATTCGTTGCATCATTTATTTTGCAGTATTGAAACCCCTGTTACCTGTCTGGTATGGCGTTTTATGCCTATCAATACTAACTTGAGCATTTTTTCATTGCCGATATAATCTCAGAATATCAACACATTCACTGTTTTTCATTTGCTCACAGATTTTATTGTTATTTATTAAAAAAAAAAAATCAATAGTCTACCAATTTTATGGTCATAAAGCTGCAAGTTTATTTAATTTATAGATATTTGGTGGGGCTGTAACGGGTAAACAGTGAGTGTGTTAATTCATATTGTTTTAAAAATAACTAAAACTAGATAATTATAAAGCTAACAGAGTACAAGATTCTATATAAAACTCTCAGTTGTAAGCGAGAGTGATGTATTTATGGGTCGCATGTCTATAATGTTGACAATTATTGTTCCGGTATAATGAATTACCGCTAATAACTAATACAATACAGTATTATGTAAGTTTGACCAGAATTCGACAAAACGCAGTCCTTTATTATGCTTACTGACCTTCACTGTCGCTGTCACTCTTTTCTGAAAATAGAATAATGAATTATAAAATTTCTATATTAACATAATGTCTTTAAAATTTGGAATATAAACTAGTGTGGTTTGTTTTAATTTTATTTTAATTCTATTAATTTAAACCATAATATAATGTATATAATTGAAAAATGATGTTGGTATTTTTATAAAGTGTGTACAACACACTTTACAAAAATTGTTAAAGATATCCTTATTCGTTCAACCTGAATTTAACTATTTTTTGATAAATTAATACCCACACTAAGTTATGGTATGAAATAGTTTAATTTGTAAGAAAATCATTTTATACCTATTATTTTCAAAACGTTCTATTTACATTTGAATGCTTTACTATTTCTATATTTTTACAAAAGCTATTAAGTATTACTAAATCCATACAAACTTTGCCCATGCAAGAAGATAGAAAAAGCAATGACTTAGTGTAAAAGCTGCATTATAAAAGGTAATGTGCACTAATCTAAGTGCAAAAATAATACTGACCTTTCTTACCCGGATACGCGTGCCTCTTTAGCCTGTCGTAGAGGTCTTCCTTCGTCCCATAGATGCTCGCGTTGGACCGCGCTAGACTGTTCATCTTTCCACTCATACCATTATGTAAACTCTCCTTCATGTACGTCTCGTTGTAGAAATTGGGCATTTCCCATCCGTCTTCCTCATCGTCGTAATAGTGGGCGTACGTAGAGTGATGCGATGGAGCTATTGATTCCGCGTAAGGAGTATGCGCTCCGTAATAAAAGTTAACTTGTGAGCCGTTTTGGTCGATAGCAGGTGTTAGCGTCTTCTTTGGTTCCTTCTTCTTCGTTGACCTGTTAAATATTGAATGAGTATTCCTTGTTTGAATGAATAATAGATAATTTAAAATATGATATTTTTTTTATAAAACTGAAGAGACAAAAGAGCCTAATATTCACGTGATGTTAAGTGACTATAGCAGCTAATGGACGCCTGCAACAAACTTCAAATAAAAAAGGTTACAGATGCGCTATCACCTCTGAGAACTAAGATAAAATGTCTTGTAAGAAACTGTAACTATACTGGCTCTGTATATTTTTCAGACTCAGACACAGTAGTACACGCACTGTTGCTTGACTGCAGAAATAGGTAAATAGGTAAGGTGTCACCTGCATAGACGGACCCTTAAGCAGAAAAGGAGTCATATTTATTTCTGGGCAATATGAAAAGACTAGAGAGGTCAGATCTATTATATATATTATATATTATACTTGACGGTTTGGGCGCAATGCTTGTTAAGTATTCGGTTGCGGCGCTTTGGGACCCGGGAACAACGATTTGAGCTTATAAATAATTGTTCCAGATCTGGATGTTTTTCCATGTTCAATTTATGTAGGTATATGATACGCCTCTATGATGCAGGCGAAAATCCTACTTTGAGGGTAACATTTACAAGAAAAATAAATATACAAAATTTTAATTTCTTGGTAGTAATATGTTAATTTATGGTTGACCGTTTCTTCCCATTTTCATCAACAACATCATAAGTATTTTAATTTCATAACAAGTCCTTCGCCATCTCCATTCGTGGATTTCCAGTATGAGTAAATATGTCGCCCCACATTGCGTAGCTAATACAAAGTTACTACTCGATAACCTTTCCTTCTTGTCGAATGTTGGAATTCTGTATACTCGTATCATAGGAAACACGAATTCAGTTTAGCTTTTATTCAATATACCCTGGAAGCAGTTACAGATTGTATTAGAAATATGTTATTGCATTCTTAATTTTTTTTATCAACCCTTTATCAACTGCTGGATATAAGCCTCTCCGTCGTCACGTACCTTTGACACTGCTGCCCATCGTCGGTCTGAGTATTTTATACTGGGGTGAACGATTTAACTTCACCGCCATCTATCGGAAGCCATAAGATCTTTTTGGCATTTCTCTTGGTCTCCGGTTACGACACAAACGGAACAAAATGGGGTGATGGATTTTCTTACGCGTCATTATACGGTCCAATATAATTATCCAATATATGTATTTACCTGGCACAAATCATCCAAACAAGCAGCACAAGGAATATAATGAAGATGACTCCACCAGCAACACCACTGGCGATGTACGCGAATTCGCTTTTGTCTCGGCAGTGGCGACCCGTGAACGAACCCGTGCATCGACACGACGGCTCTCCCCTTGCGTCTTTCACACATTCGCCGCCATTGTCGCAGTAATCCAAGCACACATCTGAGAAAAAACATTTATGTTTACATAGGGCTGGTTTTCCAATCGTCAGTTGAGTTGAGTTGAGATTAAATACATTAAAACCTGACTGAATTTAAAAATGAAACAATTAATCTATTTTGTTCATATAACTGCAACTTTTAACTTGTTTAGATTGTTATTTATCCTATGAATACATTTTATATGGAATTTGAAAAAAAAATAATGAAATAAAATTTAAAAAAGTGTCATCTATCGGCGACATTTTGAACATGGAAAGTGACATATTCTGTTAAGTACCTACAGATGGTGATAGAATACACTTTTATTTAATTTAAAATATTAGTTATGCAGTGCATTAAATGAATCTAATCTTGTTTGTATAAAATATTGCCATTCTCGCATGTCTCAACTGTAGCTCTCAAACATTAAAGTGTTTTTAATTAACTCTCTACTTTTTCCAAGCCTTTAATTAACTCGATTTTTTAATGTATTTTCGGTTCAAATTTCGTAATCAATTTTTAAGCACTTGCCGGCATCCGATTGAGCTGGGCATACTTATGTAACTTCAATAACAATGCAAATCGACCCGGATCTGGTCCTAGCCCTAGCAACGGCTATAAAGCTTCTTAGGGTTCCGTAGTTAAACAACAAGGAACCCTTATAGTTTCGCCCTGTCTGTCCGTCCGTCCGTCCGTTCGTGGTTTTACTCAGAGACCCTAGGCGCTACAAATGTGTAATTTGGGACAGTTATAGACATTAATCACGCCCACAAAACTGTAAAATAAAATCTCAAAAAACATTTTTATTTTGGGTTACACAAGTAAATGGAGGATGATGTTTTTTTACCCGTCTATTCCACCGTGTGTGATATCGTTGGACAGGTTTTTAAAAAACACTGGGGGTATGGAAGAATATCTTTTCGATGCAGGGGTCCGTTTGCGAAATATTTAGCTTCAAACTGTTAATTTTCATTAGAGTCATGTGTCCCCCCTCTACCAACTAAACCGCTGTTTTTTGGAAATGTAAAAAGTATATACGATAGTAGTATATAATATAATGAAGTTAAAAGGAAAACTATCACAGCTAAGAAGAATCAGCAAGTTAACGAGTAATAGTTGACCAACTTATAAAATGCACTTGGATTAGTAAAAATTTCGTTAGAACTCCATAATGACCTAAAACCAGCTGCATTATAACTTTGTAATGTTACTTGTAAACTGTAAGAAATAAGCATTTGTATAGGTTTAGGAGGTTCTTTATGTAGGTTATATAGGTAATAGGTATTATTTTCAAAATCGAAAAGTTATTAATCTTTTTTGAATACCCTAGTCAGATTTGAAAATAAGTCATACAGTTACCATCGTTCTATTTAGGCCCATTTTTAGTCGTTATAGCAGTCAAAACTCAATATCATGCTCATTATCAAGAAAGCCCACGTATTGTGACGGGCAACTACGCAACCCTAATTCTACATAGTGCGTGGCCCGACACGCACTTGGCCAGTTCTTTTTTAAATACATTTTATAAGATTACTTTGATTTGTAGTGATTTCAAATGTTTCTAAAGAAAATTTAACTAAAAATATTACAAAAATAATTATTAACTCATTATATCAAACTTGTAGTACTTTTTAGTGTCGACAGTGTACTTTACCACCTTGTATATTTACGGAATTATTTATTGTAATATTATAACTTACACTAATAACAAGTTATCAGTGTGTACAGTGAGATGGCCTTCTTACTTAAATATGTTACTTCTAGTAGTGGGTTCTAGCTTCTAGTAGTAGTGAATGATACATTGAAGTAATATGTAGTTACGTACTTACTTCAATGCTTCTATATCTATTTCTATATAAATATTTTCTCTTTTACATACTTATATTTATTTTATAAAAAATTGAATTTTTTACTACTTAATTATACTATGTCTAAAAATACACAATAAAATGTGAAAATTGTTTTGTCCAACTAAAATAACTGATGTAAAATAAACCGTTGATATAAAATTATATCGCATGTCTCACCGCGTTATTTTCAGACACGGCGGACTGAATTTCAATCAATAGCACAATGCAGATAAATAAAGCGGTGTGCTCTGGGTTGTAAAGTTTGTGAGTTTCGACCCTTTGTAGCTTTATCCCCTTGATTTAAAATTTAAATTTAGGCAATCTCGTTTTTATAATACAAATAATCCAATGTGGTAATACCGATATTTTTTTCATAAATGACAAATTCAAAATATGAAAATTAACATTAAAACAACATCTTCGTTATATCGCACAATACAGTTCTTCATACCTTGTTCAAATTTAGATTTTCTTAATTATTAGAAATTTTTTGAATGTTTGATTTATGAAACTGTTGATACCGTTTTTTTTATCAATACTGATCAGAGTACGTGAGGCACGAATTGCCGATGTGACCACATTTACAAACGCCATTGGCTCGTATTGCTTGTGGAGCTTGTATAAACCGGGATCGTGTCGGACGCTATATGGTGATTAAAGTTTGGATGTTAGACTTTCTATGTATGAATTACGTATACAAATGTTGGAATCGAGCGTGGATATCAGTTTCAACTTTCAAATGTGTATTTCAAGCCATATTTGCATATGGATTAGTGTGAAACCCTATTGAATAAACCTGGTTATATTGTTGCGAACGATAAGCGCCGTAAGCATATACTGTAAAAATGAAACTGATGTTCTTATTAGTTGACAAAAGCAGGCTTATGCTTTTCTTAAAGAATAATCGTGACCTACGAAAGAAGTCGTACAAGGAAGAAAATTTCTAGTAGATTGCGTAGAGTGCACCGCCAAGTATCCAGTTGGTGTGGATGTTACCGTGAATTTTGTCGTGGTGTACTTTGGTGGATTTGGGCGGCTGGGATTAATCCGAGCAATCCCCGTGGTAAATGTCATAGAAAATGCAATGGGATGCAACATCTTTTCGTAGCGTCCGTGAGTCGAGTCGAGCAAAAAGAACACGGTCGTCGACGTTTCGGGCTGCACTTCCCTAGATGCAGTCAAGTGGAATGAGTTATCACTCGGGTGAAACGGCTCAGAGATGAGAATAGTATTGTGAGGGCATGTGAGGCCGAACTTACGTCTTGCAAATACCGTTTAGTAGAGTAGAATCCTATCACCATTTAACATTAGATGAGTTTGTCGATACCCTTATACGGACACAGAAATACTAATTCATTCTCATGGTTAGGGTTGGCAGTATGTATTCATACAGTGGCAACATTTGACTACAGTGCTTGCAACCGCGGGTCGAATCTAGTTGGTTTGTAAAACTTTACAACATGAGAGAAATTCATACTTATTATATAAAGAAAAGATATATAAAGACATACGGAAAATTACAATTATGTAATATCTTGTGAAAGACAGTACGTGGTGGGGACTGGTATAGTTATTCTATTTTATGATGAAGTTCTGACTTTGGTTGTGTTAGCCGTGCACATACACATTGTGTTAGTGTGAGTAGGTTGCGGGCGCTTGGGAGTGGCGCTCCCGAGGCCTACGCACACTAACACAATGTGTGTATGTGCACGGTTAACAACAACCAAAGACAAAACTAATCGTGAAATAGAATAACTATTGCAGTATATCCCTTATTTAAATCCCATTATATAACAAAACAGAGTATTTTATTTATTTATTTAATATTCTTTATTGCACACCACCTTGCAATTTCTTCCAAACAACCAATGAATGGAGTGTGCAAGAAGAATGACAAGGGTAGTGCAAGTTGGTGTAAAAATAGATAGGTATAAAAGAATACACATAGTATACATATTTATATATACAATATACATACGAAAAATAAAATGCATATTATATACCTATTGAATTATATAATTAAATGCTATCAATATACTACATATGTATATTTAATGGCTAGTGTGGAAACGAATTTACAATTTAAAGAGCGGGGTAATGATGGTTGACTAGTTTTTTAAATATCGGAAGGGATGGTGCGCGTTTCACTGCTAATGGAAGTTCATTCCAACGAACAGCCTGTACGGTAATAGATGCGTTCATAAATTTACTAGCGTATTATTCTAGTGTATTATAGTGTATAGAGTATGTAACAATAAGTGTCGCGTATGATTTCATATGACTAAACGTACGTAATCACAACGTTTTGAGACCTATAAATCCCTCGACCTAGCTATGATTTATATAGTAATTTGTTATTGTCAGAGAATACCTGGAAATAGGATCGATCTGAATATATTTATGTATTAATACGTTTGATGTCTTTAAATATATAGTATTTCCACGAATAACTTATGACTGTAGGTATTGTAAACGTAGTTTCTTTGTATTTATAGTTCAAATTGTCACTGAAATAGTTTCCATGCCCTTTTATTATTATTTTTATAAAAAAACTTGTAGAAGGGTAGTGATGTATATATGAAAACATTTATATATTTTTTTAAATAAAAATATATATGGGTAAATATTTCTGATTGAGATTTATTAAAAAATAAAAAGCTTTGAGATATTAGTTGCAATAATTTTCTGAACTCGCAGCATATAACTCCGTGTATTTAGAATTAACAGTTGATCTCAGTTTAAAATTATGCAAAATTCTAAAAGGCGTCCGTAAGCTGAGGGTAATCAAGCAAGCTTAGCTTATGGATTACAATAATAATTGCAAAGGGTTTCGGATTATACTTGGTTCTTTAGAGTTGTTGCTCTACTCGTATATTCGTCTAGCATTTGTTTTGATTAAGGGGTCTACAGGAGCTTAACACAAGTTTTATATTGTCTTATTGTGTATGATCCAATGCAGTAAACTAAATCAGAAAAATATATGATATTTTTAGTATGTATGCTAGTTAGATAGTGTGTTGAAAACATGATACTACTAATTTGATACGATAGAAAAAAATCATAAAGATACCTATAAAAATTTCTTTTAACGAGTAAAACCATATACATGCAATCATTTTAATTTTTTTTAGATTATTCTACAAGTAACATTTGACGGCTCCGTGGCGCAGTGGCTTAGCAATCAGTTATTGTGCTGGGGGCCGCGGGTTCGAATCCCGCACGGAACAAGTATTTGTATGGCCTACAAATAATTGTTCCGGGTCTGGATGTTTGTCCTTGTGCAATTTATGTTTGTAAACTGCCTCCACGACACAGGAGAAAATCCTAGTGTGGGGGTAACGTTTTTCAAAAAAAAAGAGTAAAAAAAAAGAGTAAGAGTAACGTAATAGTATTTTAATTTTTTAATCAAATTAATAGATTTTTTTTAAATCGCATTTTCTTCTTTCTGAAATAATACGTATTGTGGAGGTAATGGTTTTCAATTGATCAAAGCGTACACGTCAGCGTATTGGCAGGTTTTGCATTTAAGCAGACTTACCTATGCAGATTTTGCCGGTGCCGTTGAAACCGGGTTTGCATTGACATTTGAACTCGCTGGTTTCAGGTATCAAAAGGCAGTATGCGTTTGTGTCGCAGTGCATTTCCGGGCCGCTCATTTCACACGGATTCGTACAGTCTGATTCAGATGTCTGTGGATAAGTAAAATAATATTATGAAGGAGCAGAATCAAAACAATTTATTGAAACATAATGCTTTCATTAGATATTTTTGAAGTTATAAGAATGGATAGATTAAAAAAAACATTTAATGAATAACAAAAACATTCAATTAAAATATTATTTTTCAATGACACTTAAGAATCAATGTCCTATCCTTATACTTATATTAGTTTTCAATGTTAAATAATGAAAGAAATTCGTTTGAAAAACTTTATAATACATAAATATTGTTGCGCGCCACTATTAATGTCTTGTACATGGCAACACTAGTTACCACTAGTGCCCTCTAGTATCGAATATCAGAACTAGGAGAGTCAAGATCCTTCTAGAAATTTCGGGACCGATATGTACTCGAACATTCTAGATGTTTCTACAGTAGAAAGTTCTGGAAACTATCTGAGGCCTAGACCACGACCGGGTCAGTATTGAATTGGCGATACAAGCGAATACTTCAAAGCGATACAACTGCGAACTTAAGTGATCAGTGAAACAATTGTGTTTTTTATTAGTTGATCTTAAGTTGTAATTTCTGTAATTGAAGTGTCATTTTTGGTAATTCACTCGGCAGTTTTAGTTGTCTCGAACCCCAAGGTCGTAACAATTGGTGTCAGAAGTGGGATCAGTGAGGATGTTCAGGACAAACCAGCTCAGCAATGAGTAGAAGGACAGCCTACAACATGCACAGAAGAAAGATTCGGACATCAAGCCGATTCAGGAATGAATGAAGGCCAGTGCTCCTAAGCCCAAATGCAGCACGTCTCAGCGATGAGTTCAATCACGAAAAACTATTGGGCTCAATGGGACAGCTTGCTGATTCAGGATGGAGTCCTGTGCCGTAAATGGGAAAATGGTCGGGGAGACAGTTGTCATTTGCAAATGGTTATCCTTAAGGCTAAAGTACCGGATGTTCTACAGCTGTACCATAATGGTTGTTCAGGAGGCCACCTGGGACTTTAAACGAACTCTACTGAAGATCCGAGAACGGTTTTACTGGGTCCACTGTCGTGACGATGTCAAGGACTGGTGCCGCAAATGTACAAGTAGTGCGGCTGTAAAGGGACCGCAAACTCGTAGTAGAGGCGCATTGAAATAGTACAATGTTGGTGAACCATGTGAGAGGATAGCCATTGACGTTGCGGGGCCGTATCCGGAAAGTGAAAGTGGTAACAAGTATTTCATGGTTGTGATGGATTACTTCACTAAGTGGCCAGAATTCTTCGCCATTCCAAATCAAGCAGCTTCAACAGTTGCAGATAAACTAGTTCATGAAGTCTTCTGTCGTTTTGGCGTACCTTTAGAGATTCACAGCGATCAAGGAAGGAATTTTGAGTCTCAAATATTCCAGGAAGCTTGCCGAGTTATGGGTACTCATAAAACAAGAACAACTTCTTACCACCCACAATCTGATGGAATGCTAGAACGATTTAATCAGACATTGGAGAGTTACCTAGCAAAAGTCGTGGAAAAACGGCAATTAGACTGGGACAGGCACATGCAACCGTTTTCGTTGTCATATCGAAGCGCTGTTCACGAAAGTACATCAGTGACACCAGCTTTTGCAAACTTTGGGGGAGAATTACGGCTGCCTGCAGACCTGATCACCAGAATACCACCTTATGCCCCACGCAGTATAACCGATTATGCAAATCACTTCCGGAACAAAATGAATGACATTTATGAGCATGTCAGACAGTCGGGCCAGCAAAAGTCTGATTAGATGAAAACACGGTATGACCGCAAAATGAACAACAAAGGGTTCGACAAAGGTTCACTAGTGTGGTTACACAATCCAGTTCGCAGCAAAGGGAAATCTCCTAAGCTTCAAGCTAAATGGGACGGACCGTACCGGATTGCGACAAGGATCAATGATGTAACCTACCGGATACAGAGAGGTGCCAGAGGTACTCCTAAGATCGTCCATGTGGATCGACTGGCACGTTATTATGGGACCAATAATGCTCGGAAAGAGCATGTCTTAGGAGGGGGCAGTGTTGCGCGCCACTATTAATGTCTTGTACATGGCAACACTAGTTACCATTAGCGCCCTCTAGTATCGAGTAGCAGAACTAGGAGAGTCAAGATCCTTCTAGACATTTCGGGACCGATATGTACTAGAACATTCTAGATGTTTCTACAGTAGAAGGTTCTGGAAACTATCTGAGGCCCTATATAAGGCCGGTATAGACTACGACCGGGTCAGTATTGAATTGGCGATACAAGCGAATACTTCAAAGCGCTACAACTGCGAACTTAAGTGATCAGTGGAACAATTGTGTTTTATTATTAGGTGACCTTAAGTTGTAATTAGTGTTCTGTAATTGAAGTGTCAATTTTGGTAATTCACTCGGCAGTTTTAGTTGTCTCGAACCCCAAGGTCGTAACAATTGGTGTCAGAAGTGGGATCAGTGAGGATGCTCAGGACAAACCAGCTCAGCAATGAGTAGAAGGACAGCCTACAACATGCACAGCAGAAAGATTCGGACATCAAGCCGATTCAGGAATGAATGAAGGCTAGTGCTCCTAAGCCCAAATGCAGCACGTCTCAGCGATGAGTTCGATCACGAAAAACTATTGGGCTCAATGGGACAGCTTGCTGATTCAGGATGGAGTCCTGTGCCGTAAATGGGAAAATGGTCGGGGAGACAGTTGTCATTTGCAAATGGTTATCCTTAAGGCTAAAGTACCTACCGGATGTTCTACAGCTGTACCATAATGGTTGTTCAGGAGGCCACCTGGGAGTGTAAATTTTGGTAATTCACTCGGTAGTTTTAGTTGTTTCAAACCCCAAGGTCGTAACAATATGTTAATACAAATGTTGATAAAAGTACAAAAAATGTGAAATACTTAAGTCAACTATTTCTCTTATTCTAATATATATAATTTTTTTTTATAGGATAAGGGTGACAAACGAGCAAACAGTCCACCTGATGATAAGTGGTTGCTGCGGCCCATAGACATCTACATCTATCCTCTATTACAAATCAAAATGTAGATGCGTTGTCACCCGTGAGGACTAAGATGGAATGCCTCATTTCCAGTAAAAAAGGCCTCCGGTCACCTGCATTCACCAAGCGAAACGCAGAGGTAAACCTCTACTTCACGCTGGTTTTCTGTGAGGTCGTGGTACCACCCCGGTTCGAGTCGGCCCATCCGTGTGACAGCAAAAGCTGCCGCGTGGCTCTACCACTGTTATAAATCATACCTATAGATTACGTAAAACTATAGTAGATTGTACAGTAATTTTACAGTGCTTGTAAAATTTAATTCCGATGGTTGCAGACATTTAATGTGTGTAACAACGGGATTACAAGTAGGAGTTATTTTTCAGATATTTCAATTTTTTAAATTTGGATTAAGTATTTTAAAACTTAAATAGTTGGAAATTAACCAAAGCTCATTTGAAGATTGATATTTCGAAAGCTAAGTATTATTTTAGCATTTATAGTTGTTTATCTTCTGTGAAGTTAAATCGGCGAATTTTACTTGCAAAATTATATTCCGTAGCATCCCGCATAATACGAGACTTGGGGCCTAATTGTTCCGGTTATCCACTTTAGAGAAACCTTGCAACATTGTTCACAATGGAGTTAGCAACAAACTTCAATACTGTTTATAAGTTCTGCGGGGTTAGGAAGACAATATTTGTAGTCAGCGTTGAAACTTTACCACTTTGAATTATGATTTAAAAAAAATTTAATTGCAATTTCTTTTTCTATTGTTGTTTTTATTCATTTTGAACATCTAGAGGATGTAGATTTAATAATGTAAGGCCAACAAACAATACGTAACGCTTTAAATGTTGATTTTAATGATATATACATACTACTAGAGTATTAATAATTGAATTCCAAACACGTTAATTAACATTAACGCTGTGTCATTAATTATACATTCGTTTAAGCGTGAATTCGCTAACGTGTACATTTTTGATTTAGACAAACTTTGTATAACAAATGATTTAATTAGCTAAGGAAATCTCGAGATTCTTTTTTAAATTATGTAAATATTTAGAGAATTCATAAAATACAGAATGAGGCCGTAATAAAAAGGCGTGGAATTTACTTTTCAAAGTACGAAATGCTTGATAAATTTATGTTATCTTTTGTCTTGTGATTTTTATTTTGCTTGTATAACACACTCACTATTTTTGAAAACGAAAAATTAATTAAAAACATAATTGTTATTATAGAATTACACATGGAAATCTTTCTTAACATTTTGTTAAGACCCAAATAAGTTCATTCGCTAAATAAACCCATATAAACACGAAATGTTTTCTCTCTAGTCAATGGACGACTTAATATTAGTAGGTATATTGCTTAATATTGTACCTGAAGTTATATATTTGTTAATTTATATGTTATTCCGTGTGTTACATTATTTTATTTCCTAACCGCAATCAACGTCGCAAACGTTTCATAACTTATTATTTAGTTATATATATTTCCAGAACTATTCGTTTGTAATTAATGATAAACTTATATTATTAATGATTATGTTGCTGGAGCTAGAAGGGCGTTTATGAATGTCAATCCGAAATATTGGCACCACTGTACGTAAAAAGCTCGTGGCGTAAAGCAAAAGCAAGGAAAAAGAACAGGAATGTTTTTTCATCATGGACTGACATATCTATTATAACTTTACACTACCTACTTCTTCTTCATCAGCCCATAAAATTCTATTGCTGTACGTGAACCTTTTCCATTGTAGGTTTGGATAATTAGGTAGATTAAGCCATAACCGTCACGTTCAATAGGCAGATTGATGAATAGATCAAAGTCAAACATTTCTCGCGACTTATACCCTGTTTTCCTTTGCCGGTCTGTATATTTTACGTTGGACGTAAATGAGATGGTATTATAGCCATCTATTGGCAGCTAACGATTTCTCGGGCATCTTCCATTGTCACCATTTAGGAAATCCAAGAGACGAAATGGAGTAGTGGATTTACTTAGGCCGCAATCACACAGTTTTAGCACTAAATTATATTTGAAATGACATTGGCTAACTAGAGGCCCATGGTGAAATGTAAATATTAAGGGCGAGGGAAAAATCCGGTTTCACCGGTTCGACTTACCGACTTCTCAATCGAACTACCTACTGTAAATATAATAAAGAAGAGAGCTGACACTACAAAACAAAAGTTACGAATATTTTACGATCTGTTGAGAAAGTATAGGGAGGTTGAGAGTTAGACAAAAAGAAGTTAGAAATTAGAATAATAAAATTATGATAAATTTAAAAGAAATAAAGTACTATTACACGGACGAAATACGTACCGCGCCTGGACCTCTTGTGCTGGTGTTGATGGGGCAGGGTATACACAAAGTCTGTTGTGCCTCCGATTGGTATGTTCCCTTCTTACACTGTATACAAGTATTGAGCGTGACATTGAGGTATAAACCTGAAAAAAAAACCGATTAAATGAATAATTTAATTATCCCTTAATTTCATTAGAGAGCAATATATTTTTAAATCTAGATCTTTCTTAACTGAAAATAAAATAAAACGTAATTGTATGAGTAATTATTAATTATATGAATTTATAAATAAACGATCAACTGACAGTATAATTCAGGTTAAGCTTCGAAATAACCTTTAAAGTTGGTGAGGCGTTGATCCGTGATAAATTTTTAATCAAGATTTATCTAAGACCCAAGAATACGGTTTTATTTGCATTTTACAGGTATTTGTAAATTAAAGTGGTCTTGTACTGTTATACTTATGTCGTAGACTACTAGATTAATTAACCTTTCAGTTAACAGACTAGCATTTTTACTAAGTGGCGCCGTTCAATGCCTGAATGATATACAGCCGATGCGTTTAATACAACATTCCACATATCTAGTAATATTAGTGACAGTGGGTAAAGCCGCGTATATCTATAGAAATAAATAAAATTGTCTGTTTGTAATATTAAAATTACAGCGTTTTAATAAATGCATATGAAAGTATAAACGGTAGTTATAACAAAAATACACTTTTTAACCGACGAAAAAACGGAGTTTCTCAAGTCGACGTGTATATTTTTTTTATGTATGTCCACGCATAACTTTTTACGTAGTAGACCGATTTTGATAATTCTTTTTTTATTAGATAGGGTGTACCCCGAAATTGTACTGGCGCCGACTCAAAATTACTTAGGTATACTTACATTAGTTTTAGAACTTAGTTATTAAGGTTAATTAAAAACTCAAAATAATTACAAAAATATATACTTAGGTATACTTAAATTAGTTTAAGAACATAGTTATTAAGGTTACATAAATAAAAAGGTTTATTATTTTTTGCTTTTAATTTTTTTCGGCGGTTTAATTTTTTTGTTAATAAAAGTTTTTTAAAATGTATGTCTGTTTGGCTATCTGTCTGTTTGTTCCGGCTAATCTCCAAAACGGCTGGACCGATTTTGACGGGACTTTCACTGGCAGATAGCTGATGTCATAAGGAGTAACTTAGGCTACTTTTATTTTAGAAAAAGAATTAGGGTTCCGCGCAAAAATGGGGCTAATTCGCGGGGAACAACTAGTGTATAATATAGCACTTAGCGCTAATTAGGCACAGAACAGCGACCGCCTCGTTATGAAATTAATAATGTGACCATACCATGTTTTTTTTTTTTTTTTTTTTAAAAAAACCATGTAATATATAGGCTGTTATCTAAGCAGGTTAATTAAGCTAGTTGGCTGCCACATTGAAACTATAAAAATAATATTACAACTTTGCTTAGGAAAAAATATTAAATGTGCAAAAAGACTGTTGTCATCCACAATAACTAGTTGCGAAAAGAACTGCGTAGTAAGAATAACAAATGCGTAAGATTATAATGCCGCTTGTGCAAATAAAAAAAACCCTCACAGATCCATAATGACCAATATTTCAAACATAAATTTTATATATAAAAAATGTAATAAGATATTAGATATATTTCAATGAAATGTGAAATGTGTATTATTACTATGTGTTTATAGGTTATATGTTATAGGAGACAACATTAGGACTCTGTCTTGTATACAGATAACAAGCTTTAAACTTACATAAGGCCAAGAGAATAACAAATAATAATTTAAAGTTAAAAATTTTGTACAACCGATTTCGATATAAATTATTAAGAATAAATCAAAAACTATTGGCCAGACCTTGATTTATATGGGACCACATGTGAAGTACCAGCTTTCAAATAAAAAAAGAATCATCGAAATCGGTTCACACAGTAAAAAGTTATGAGCTAACACTAACATAACATACTAACAACTAAAAAACATACAGTCGAATTGAGTACCGGCTTCTTTTTGAAGTCGGTAGAAAATGAAGTTTTTGATTATGATCGTTAGACTAAAGTATTTACTCCCTGGAATATTTTTCCTATAATAGTAGCGTAAGAAACGATTATACATGAGGAAAGAGTCTACGTGACGTTACGTGCCACGTATACAAGCAGTCCACGAGCACCTGCAATCAATTTTAGAAAAGAAGGTCGCAGATACGTTGTGCCCCCTGAGGGGTAAGATAAAATGCCTTATTGCCTCTATTGACTTTCTTTCCTTTCAAAACTATGTACAGCAGTGAATAGGTTTCGCTGCCTTAAATCGCGAGCACTAAAAAAATATTCGAATTTAATGTACTCCACTCCACTGTTACTCCACTTCTTATTTAATATAGTCATTCTCTTATGATTGATTACTGACATATTTAGGCATTGGTTTAAAGTCCCTCTGATGCAAGTGGCTCCAACTCATAGCCACTTGCAACAAAATTAAATTAAAAACAATGTTTAATCCTCTCTAAGTGTTGTGGAACGTTGCGCAACCTGTAATAAATAGAAAATTACAACAATAGCCGATAAGCTGCCGCAATGCGACGGACTGGTAAGAAGTGGTTTCTACCGAGACGGACCCTTAGGCAGGAAAGGCGTCGCACGATTAAGTATTCTTGGCACGAGATTGTTTCGTCAATCGCCTAGCGGTTTCCGCGTTGAATTTTAATTTGTGCGCCACTCAATCAATGTGTAAGTTTATTCGTCTAAAGTCGCTCAGCTCTCAATTTATTATTTGTTTTGACTTACTTTCTGGAATGTGTTACTTTCACAACGATTTGTTGCAGAATACAAAAACGGTATTGAAGTAGTATTTTATATACGCGGTAGTATTAATTGATAGTAGTTAGGGTGACAAACGAGTACACATTCCCCCTGATGGTAATTGGATGCTGTGACCCATATAAATTATAATGCAGATGTCGTGTCAGCTTTGAGGATTAAGGCGAATTGCTTAGTTAGTAAAAAGGGTCTCCAATTCTCGTCACTCACTATAGAAAACTCGGTAATCTCTTGATTTGATTCTTATCTAAGAGAGTGCTCGCAGTGTGTCCGCCAAGATAATTTTTATAGAATAAGGTCGATAAGCGAGCTCACAGTCTACTTGATGGTAAGTGGATGCTGCGGCCCATAGACATCTCCATCTATCATCGATTAAAAATCAAAATCCAGATGCGTTTTCACCCCTGAGCACTAAGATGGAATGCATCATTAAAAGGGCTACAAATGGTGCGATCTTTCTGAGTGCGTTCCTCAGAGCGATGTTCTTTCTCCATTTCTCTTTTGTATTAATGCTCCCAATCCTATATATCCTCTCACTTTTATCAATACGTTGGTATGATACTTATGATTGATATTTTTATATATATAGTTGCTTTTTATCTATACTGACAGTTCAAAGTCAAACATATAGAGGAACAGAGGAACCTAATAATATACCGAATGACTTAAATAGCATAAGGAATTGAGCAAAGTCCTTTGTTATTCTTGTTAACCATGCTCAATCATAAGTTTTTATTATCTCTCAAGCTTCTCGAGCTGCTTTTACCTTGAAAAACTAAGATAACCTTAGCTCAAGTGTCAATTGTCGTTCATCTGATTCACTATGTTCATGTTAATTTTCTGGACCCTTCGGAGGAATTGTCAAACAGACTGGAACGTCTTCCTAAGTTTAACCACGTTACAGAGTACAGGGTTCAATTAAAATTACTTCCTATTTTTTGACGTCGAGACTTACAGGTACTATAATTTCTTTACATTTAAAACCTCTCTGTAAACGTTTTGAGTATCTAGTGCCTTACGAAACACAGTGCTGGACCATTAAATCGTTACTTCTTAAAATCCCTTCTCATTTCTCAAATTGAATAGGTGGAGTCTTTACTATAAGGGCCAATCAGTGGGTCTCACTTCTACATGACGTTTCAATTTTTCTCATGAAGTATTTCAAAATAAGTAAAGGAAACATAATATTTATCTATTTTAAATTATAAATGTATATTTTACCTTCGTTGATATATATATTATATAATATGTATTTATTAAACATAACTAATAACGAATTTTTATTATTTATTATGATTTATGCACGAAGTGCACACTTGCTCTATTATTTTATTACTTTTTCCTCAATAGTTTGTTGGAAGAGAACTTTTATTAGGGTTAGGGTTACTTTTACTCGCCTTTGAACATTTTATTTATGTGTTAATTGTCATAATATTCTAGAGTTTACATTATAAAATAAAAACAGCCGCTATAAGCTGTGTTTTTTCACGTTGGTATTCTGAGTTGTGTATCGCTAGCAACGCAAAGTCGGGAATTTGCATTTGGAAAAATCCAAAATTAGGGGCTTTTTAGGTGCTAATTAAGTACCAAGTTTAAAAATTAGGTGCTCTAAAATTTTCACCGCTACGAACTGTTGAAATTTGCGTTGCTAGCAAAACGCCTCGCTAGCAACGCAATGAAGTTATTAGATATACGATAAATATTAATAGCAAGGAATTAAGTGCTAATTAAGTGCTGAGGGATTTTTTTATAGGATAAGGGTGACAAACGAGCACACAGTCCACCTGATGGTAAGTGGTTGCTGCGGCCCATAAACATCTACATCTATCTTCGATTATGAATCAAAATGCAGATGCGTTGTCACACATGAAGACTCAGATGGAATGCCTCGTTTCCAGTAAAAAGGGTCTCCGGTTCTCTACACTCACCATACGAAACACAGCAGCTTTAAGCTGCTATTTTACGCTGGTATTGTGTGAGAGCGTGGTCCTTCCCCGGTCGAGCCGACCCATTCGTGCTACAACCATAATATAGCTGTAGCATGGCTCTACCACGTATAAACTATCGAAACCCGATACAGATTAAGATATTATTCTGGGAATTATAGGGTCCATGACCAGCATTACCTTATCATCAGGTATGAACGGCATTTTATTTTTTTTATCAGTGTCTAAAAATTCAGTGCTAATTAGGTGCTAATTAGGTGCCAAGTCTAAAAATTAGGTGCTTTAAAATTTACCCTCCAACGAACTGTTGAAACTGTTGCTAGCGATACGTTTTGCCAGCAACGGAAATTTCAATGGTTCGTTGCGGTGAAAATTTTAAAGCACCTAATTTTTAAACTTGGCACCTAATTAGCACCTAAAAAGCCCCTAATTTTAGATTTTTCCAAATGCAAATTCCCGACTTTGCGTTGCTAGCGATATACAACTGGTATTCTGTCTGAGTGTGGTGAGTCGGCTCGACCGGGAGTGGACCGAGCGGATTAGTGCCTGAAAGGATTATCTGCGAGAATATCGACATTAGCATTTGATTTTACAGGGATGAAATAAGGGTTAAAGGGATTTTGGCGGGAACTTGACCAAAGGCGGATTGCTGCTACTATATTATTGTTACTATATAATAGTTTGAAGTGGATTTTGATACATTAAAGTGTTGTCGTTTTGTGTATTAAGTGTCAACACATGTGAACTATTGGGAAACGATTAAACAAATGTTCCGATGCTGATGTGAGCCGCAATTAATGGTGTCTGTTTAGGAGTTTTAAGATGCTATCGTCAACGACTGCTTTCTGTTTCAAGCTGCCATCGATAATCTCGCAAAAACTTTGCAAAAACAAAAAGTATAACTAAATAAAAAGTATAAGTAAGTACCAGGCTTGCAGACGGGCAAAGAGCACTGATCAGGGGACGAGGCGCCGGGTTGCGGTGTGGTGGTGCCGGGCGGGCAGGGGGCGCAGGCCGCGCCGGCTCCCGCCGCGCGCCACGTGCCGCGCGGGCAAGCCTCGCAGCCGCCGTCGCTGCCCAGTTGCTCGCCTGCGGAAAATAATCATATTATTCCTCAAATGTTAAATACATTTGTAAAATCAAAAAGCGCAGGTACTCAATGATTCGCATAATATTCTTATATTTAAAAAAAAATAATAAAACGTTACACATAGTAGGCTATTCTCCTGAATCGTGGAGACGGTCTACATACATATGGAGGACAAACATCGAAACCCGGAACAATTCTCTGCAGCAGCGCCACAACCAAAACTATGGAGCTATCATTAAATGTTCGGCATAAAGATTTTTATTGAAGTAATTCGTCGTTGACGCCGCAAAGGGGCGAACCTCAATTTTTGCAAAAAATTACGGGAGAGTAAGAAAACATTTATTATTCCCCGATTACTAGCCTTTTTTCATCAGAAAATCAACAACTAAGACGTGAAATCAAAAATTTATATGACCAGCACACCAATAACAACAAACTATTCACTAGGTAGGGTGTTGGGAGAGATGATAGATGTCCAGATGGAAATAAAATAATAATGAAAATAAAATTAATTCTAAGGAAGGTAAATTAAAATAACAGCACTTCACTGTACCTGCAGGACAATCATCTCTACACTCTGCAGCTGATACAGCTTCAGTGGCTCGCGTGGTTTGTCCTCTAGCACATGGAATGCACGAGAATGCACCCTCCTTCGGCTGGTAAGAGCCATGTCCACAGGGACGACAAAGATCTGCTTCAGCATCGTAATACTTGCCGGCTGCGCACCTTTCTGTAATTAAAAATATATGTATACAGAACGATATAGGAGATTTTTCGTTTAAGCACTGATAGTTAGGATGTCAGATATCGAATGTTTTTTGGTAGCTGATGTTAAGGCAAATACTGAGTACTTAAGCTAATCCATCTCTACAATGGGAGACGAATAGTCCTAGCATGTTCAGCAGTGGACTTCTATGAACTCATGAAGAAGATGCGAATGATGAAGCTTCACTGAAACGCATTTTAGCCAACTGGCAATTTATAAGTTCATATATATAGATGACAGTAGCATTCTTTGTTTTTATCTGTAGACTTATTTTTTTTTATTTCTAAGAATAATATCGAGAAAGAGGGAGATAATAACCTTTGCAATCAGCTGCACTTCTGGCTCCAGTAGCTTGTGTGACGCCAGGCTGCCCAGCTATAACAGGGCACGGAGTACACTGTAGCTGTCCGGCTTCTGATTGATACGTGCCAGCAGGACAAGGTTTACACGAGTCACTCGCTGCGTCTAGATAAGTACCAACCGCGCATGACACTGGAAATGAAAACAGTTCCTGTAGTAAATTATTGTTTACTACATTAATATATAAACTAATATATAAAGCAGTTGCTTGTAGGAGGAAATCTTCAAAACTGCTGATCCGACTTTGAAAATTCTATCGCTAATAGAGAACTATACCATTTCCGTATGACGAAGGCTATGTTTTATTGTACTTAAAATTCGTATTTTTTAAAAGTAGTTACGAGTATGTTGTCGTGTATAATGTGTTTATTTAAAATGTATACAGAGATTATTATATTATAAACAAAAGATGTATATATTTATTTTACTAAAACAATTTTTTGTCTACTTTTATATTTAGTATTATTATCTTTTTTCTTTATCTATAACAAATAATTTAGTACGTAATACTATATTGTGTCGCTCTTTATTTAAAGTTTCTTTCAATTTTGGCACCCACTACGAATTTTGTCTCGTCCCTGCTTGACTTAATAGAGAATGCCTATAGCTTATGTAATCTCTAAAGCCTATTGGCATTTAATCCGGCCATTGTAATCATTTTAGCCGACTTCAAAAAATAATAAGGTGGTGCGTGATATCTCCGTTAATTGTGAACCAATTTTGATGATTCTTTTTATTACTTCAGGGGTGGTCCCTAATTAATTTGGAGAAATATACCACACCTTAGGGAAAATACGGGCTGAAGTTTTTAATGTAACTACTAGATTGTGATATTCCTCAGTCCATTCGAAAGGGTAAAAAAATTACCTTTATAAAAGGTAATAGCTGTCTTCAAAGAACTAAAAGAAATAAATAAAATGTAGGTACAATAGTTTTACATTTTGAAGCAAGGTTTAATTCTTCTATACAATGTGAAATAATTTTATTATTTTAGTTGTTTTAAGTCGGATTTTTCTTCTTATTAAATGTTGTTTTTTATATGGTATAATAAAGAGTAAATAAAAAACCAGTATATTATAATATATTATTCAAAATCACGAATTACACGCGAGCAAAGCCGCCAAGTCGACTAGTTAAAAAAATAAGAATATGACGATAATAATTAAAGATAAATATTCGACATCGATCACTAATAAAAATTAGCGATCGAAATTAGTATTCGAATGACAAATGAAGCTTTATATTACATTTTGTATTTTATTTTATAGTATAACGGTGACAAACGAGCATACAGTCCACCTGACGGTAAGTGGATCCTGTTGCTCATAGACATCTACATCGAACCTTAATAAAGAATCAAAATGCAGATGCGTTTTCACACGTGAGGACTAAGATGGAATGCCTCGTTTCCAGTAAAAGGCACCGCAGGTTCTCTACACTCACCATACGAAACACTGTACTCCGTGAGACTGTGGTCGAGCCGACCCATTCGTGCTACACCTATAGTATTATACCTGCAGCATGGCTCTACCAGGTAAAAGATATATTTTTTAACATTTGAACTTGTGTGGTAATTAATGTATTTTGAATAATAATAACTTAATATTATATACTTGTTACATATTGAAAATAATTTACCGTATATTATAATAAAATTAACTCTTACTTAATCTACGGTGTTAGTGGTAGAGTTTTAATAATTTAATATTTACTTTTTACTTCGTATTGATACAAAATTATATGTAGCACTTATTCAGTTTGGAAAAACTAGGTTTTAGTATTTCATAAATGACATATCGGCATCTGTAAATGTAGTAAGTTTATAGCCTGTTACTTTTATAGTTTCATAAGTATATTTTAAAATAACCACACAATAAGAAGTATTTTTGTAAGAACTACTTGGCACTGAGAAATCACAATCTAGCCGGTTTTTGGCAATAATTCGACACTGAAACTTTGCATATATATTTCTTTATCTTTGTATATCCATGAAAAGATTTATTGTTAGTTATTTCCGAATTTGAAATATATAATATAGTGAATAACTTACCACAATCCGGAGCCATTACGACCTGCCCCATCGGGCAGGCATAGTCGGAAACAAGTTGTAAGCTGGCCGGGTCGGGAACTGTATTCGGAAGAATGTTTTGTACATCGAATTGTTCATCTTCAAGTATTAACTTCTCGAGTAATCGTTGTACAGTTGATCGTTCGTTGGTGCCACCGTGGATCACTGGGTCACTAAAATGTTTCATTTTATTATTTTTATTATTTCTTGCTAGTGTCATGTAAGTATGACAATTTTTACATCATTATAGAACCTGGCGTTGGGCGATTACTGAGACTGAGAATTTTTTAGTAAAGTAATTATGTGTTCTTTTTATTCAAACACTATTTTGGAAAAACAAGTAAAATATCCACTATAAAACGAAATATTGTATAGCATATAAAACTGTCATACTCCTATATAGTTGTTAATAGCGTTATGCGAAGTGTCATTAATTGGCAGTCTAAATTAGGCTTTATTTTATACTGATTTATGACTATTTCTGTTTACATACAGTGAGTTCATTTTGTACATTTTGATGTAATTTACTCTATAATATATTAAGTAATATTTAACTGGTATTTCAATACGTAAATAGAAATTATGTCAAATAAAATTAACTTTAGCGATGATTGTAATTACAATAATATTATGCACGAGGAAGTAGTGAAAGTTTAGATAATTTTGCTACTACAAAAATATAATGTTTGGTTAAAGTATAGAAGATACTCACTTTACAGATGGGAAAGAGACTTCTACGCTGTACGTGTCACCTGCTTGCCGACCCTCTCTACTGCTTCGTATCCTAGGTGCCAGATAAAATACATGCAAAAAGTGTTTGAAGGAAGACATGCTTTTCTAAATTATTTTATATTTTCGTACAAACTAGTGTTGAAAAGTTTTAGTTTATACTTTTTAAATAAATGAAATAGTGCGAGATACATTGTGTCGAACTGTACACATGCTTTGAAGTAGTGTGCACTACAAAATGTAGTACTACGAAATAAGTATTTGTGCTACATTTGGTGTCTACTCCAACACCTGATAGTTTTTACCAAGTCCATCTTATTGTGAATTGAAATATTATTAAAATTTTAATAATTTATCAAAGACTGTATACTTACTCATCGACTGGAATGATAGCATCTAGTACGTATGTATCTTCAGATTTGACATTTGGTGAAGTGGACACTTGTCGAGTTTGACGAACGTTAGCGCGGTGGTCGCATTTTACATTGATATCCAATTCTTTACATTCCCGAGTACCTACGAGAGAAAAGCTTAAGTTAAATAATTATTTAAAACATAAAAATGTTTGACTTATTGCAGTTGTGATAGCCTTCCAGTAGTGAGATATTCCAAAACCTATGATCTCACCTTTTTATATAGAATATACAGTTCACCTGAAGTGGATGCTGTGGCCCATAGACACATAGTACATTTATTCTCAATTAAGAATCAAAATGCAGACGCATTGTCACCCCTGAGGACTAAGGTGGAATGCCTCATTTCCAGTAAATAGCGTCTCCAGTTTTCTACACTCACCATACGAAACACAGCAGCATTAAGCTGCAACCTGTGAAATAGTAGGCAGGGGGAGATTTTTTGCCAAGGAATACATATAGGTTGGTACCACCCTTTTGCGTATATCTGCCGCCAAACGGCAGTTCATCCACTGTTATTTTGCTTAAAACCAGCATAATTGTAGGATGTGGGACATTCAAGTCTGCAGTGGCGACAACGCTCTCTAGTAGTTGCAGTTCTCCAGGAGCTACTGTTGCCGTTTACCATCAGGTGGACTGTAAGCTGTTTCTTCAATTATATTATAAAAAATATTGGTATAACAGTACAATGATAGCGAATATGATATGCATCATTAACGCAATCGAAGAACTCATTAAAACAGTTTCCTTTTGGTGAAGCTGTTACGTCAACTTAGCAGTGTTGGATACACGGAGACAATCTTACAGTGAAAAGAGGTTGTTTTGTGTTTTGTTGTTATTTAGGCTATAGTATATAAAAATTACGTGTACGTATGTATAGAAAGGTTGAGGTACTTTATATAATGTAAATTTAGCAATCTCTGCAGTGAACAGGTATATTGTTTCAAATCCACGGGTATAAGTGGCAATTGGTATATTTGTTTGTCTAGGTAAATCATGAAAACTTCAGCAGCTAACTCTTATTATCTCTCATTGTCTCCATTTTTTTAAAATCGTTAACTCCGCACTAGGATTTTCTCGTGGGGGCAGTTTTCTCTTTATCGTGGGGGCAGTTTACATACAAAAATTTCACAAGAACAAATATCCAGACCCGGAACAATTACTTGTAGGCCATATTAATACTTGTTCCTTGCGGGATTCGAACCTGCGGCCCTTAGCGCTGCAACTGCAACACTGTAACGGAGTCGTCATTGATTTCACGAATCAACTGAGAAGACTCTCCATTAAATCCAAGAGGATAAACTTCCTGGACTGCCTTTAGTAGGTTCTCGGGAGAGTCATATTCTCCGTAGCCCAATTGTGTAAAAATAATTAAAATGAGTGGCAAAATTTTTATTTTCGCAGTGGTTAGTTATTTTACTACATGTTAATTATTTATTACGATATTTACTTTTGTATCGTGCTGCAACCTAAATGCATACGTTTATTTATCTTGTACTGACTTAACTTGTTGAGAAAAATCTTAATAATTAATAAAGATTTGTAATGAAAATATTCAAAGCTTACCATCAATGGCATAAGAGCAGAAATTCCAGTCCCTGTTCAGTTGATTGATTGCACTGCGCACTTTCTGACGTAGAACGGCTTGTCCCGCGTCGTTGCAAAGCACAGAGCTCGGGAATAACATGGATATTTTGAAAACTCGCTGTGCAGGTGTGGCCGCTGTTGAAATTATTAAAATATATATTTGTGTTTGGTAAAATACGACAAATTTCTATGTTTATCATCATAAACATAGGCCCCCTCAACAACTGAAAACTGTCACAAAACACGCTCCGTCCATAAAGTGCTGCCTTTCTCACCAGGTCGTACGGTAAAGAGAGGGACCCCTTTCGATTCGCTTACCGTTATGCGAATGATATTCGTGAACCATTCTTTCTCATCATTTATTGGTTCTGTGAGCTATGTGGTCAGCTCATGGGCATTTAAGTATTCCTACTGACCCTTTTTTATAAATATTATAATATGCGTGGTCACATAGGTTGTTTCATAGACGAGATATTGGCCATAGTTGCCACGCTTGGTAGATAGGTTGGCAACTGCAGCTTTTTTTATATTTTGAATTGTAATTAGGAAGATACTGCTGCCCATCTCCTATTTTATTTCTCTATGTCGCCACTTATAACACACACACTAGCTGTTCCTCGCGACTTAGCCAGCGTGTTATTTGTGGTTTTAATTTTTTTGCGCGTAACCCTAATTCTTTTTCTAAAATAAAAGTAGCATAAGTTACTCCTAATGACATCAGCTATCTGTCAGTGAAGGTCCTGTCAAAATCGGTCCAGCCGTTTCAGAGAACAAACAGACAGACAGACAGACAAAAAGTTAAAAAATTGTGTTTTTGTTATAAGTATCGTATATACTTTCATATGCACATAGTAAAAAGCTGTTATTTCGACATTACAAACAGACACTTCAATTTTATTTATTTGTATAGATTACGGCTACTACACGGCGCGATTAGCTAATTAAGAAAACAATTATAATTAAAAATTCTGTTAATACATCATCTTCGTAACTTTAGAATGAACTTACGTGAACAAGCAGGATAAACAAGTGGAAGGCTGGGATTGTCAGTAGGTCGCCAGAATCCTTCAGCTCCGCAGGTATAGAACGGTGGGACCGGTTGCGAGAATCTAAGGCCGTCGCGACATGCGATCTCGCACACCTTGAACTGACCTCCAGCTCCCCAGTCACGGCAAGATTGATAACCACCAAGTGGATCAGCCAACGGTGGGCAGAATTCAGCTAAAAAATATTAATAATAAAAAACTTTCCATTTTTTCTACATGATTTATAAATGTGTAATTCAAACATCAGTAAAAAACTTACATAAAACCGTAACTTTGAATTTACAAGTTGCAGCATTACCAGCGGCATCATATGCAATGTATGCGATATCGTATCCTCCCCAAGCTAAGTTCTCACCAGGTTTATGTCCCGACTTTTCAACTACTCTAGTAACACCGACGTTATCGCTAAATACTGGAGCATCCCAGTTTACAATTGATGATCCATTTTTCGCGATTACCCACAAATCGCCTGGACAGCGATCTACTCTAGGTGGCTCTTTATCAACTTGTAATTGCTGACACTTAGAACCTGTATAACCATTAGGACATACTCTTTGACCGCAGTGAGATGGTACAAGCCTTTCCACACCGCCAATAATATCCTCATATCCAGCCCAGTTTAAGACTAAACCACTGTAAAGAACAGGTTCAGTTCTGCAATCACGAACTTGTTTCTGGATTTCGTTAGTTACATCAAGAGCATGGTTCCATATTTGTACTTTAGTAAGATGTCCTTGGAAACCCGATTCTGTGTAAGCTTTTGGATTATCTGACTGAGGCTTACCAAGTGTTACCCAAACACTGAAACATATGAAATGTTAATGTTTGATTTTACAATTAAGTTTGTTTTTAATGCTAAAAAAATACTTACTATTGTGGTAGGGTTCGTCCACTGCCATAGCCTTCAATCTTACTGGCAATCAAACCTTCTGTGATAAGAGTTAATTCACCACCATTGCTACCGTCCCATACGAGAGCAACGTGATGCCATTGACCATCGTTTACAGTTGCAAATTCTCCAAAGCTTAAATATACGTCTTGAAGTTCTGGAAATAGTGATACTTGGACACCATTTGAGTGGGCTTGAAGAATAGTTCGTCTGTTTAGTGCTATATGTGAATTGCTGAAAATCAAGTAATGTAAAAATTAGTTCATGAAGACTGTACTGTAATATTTTATTTTACCTCAGATAAGTAATAACTATTTAATTAATACCTAACACCATAGGCAGTGAAGAATATGCCTCCTTCGTCTTGTTGCGTATATTGAACCCACATTGCCACCGTCAAGCTGTCAGCAGATCCGGTGTCAAACGGTACAATTTGGGCAGCACTTGATCGTAAAGGATCACTAAAATAGAAATCATAATCCACACTGATAGCTGAAAAAAGCACATTTAATATTTTAGAATGAAATTACAGTATAGGCAAAATATAGATTACATATGTTAATATATTTACTTTTTCTGCAGTCATCACCAGTAAGGTTAAAAGGACACTGGCAATAGAATCTTCCAGGTAAATCTATACAAGTCGCAGATGGTGGGCACGAATTCTCTTTACAATCCATTATATCTTCATCGCAGTTCTTTCCTTTAAATCCTGGAGCGCAAATGCAAGTGTATCCGTCTCCATTGTCGACGCATGTGGCTCCGTTCTGACAAAGACCAGCTTCACATGCGTCAAATTCGTATTGACAACCAATACCAGTATAATCTTGGGAACAAGTACAATTGAGTCCAGACCCAAAGTCTTGACATTTTCCACCGTGCATGCATGGACTACCAATACAACGCTCAGGCGCAGTTTCGCATTGCTTTCCATCTGTACCACTTGGACATCTATAAAGAAAATATTAATAATGAATATTGTTATTTGTAGTTGAAAGGTTAATAGTATTTTTCTAAAAACAAAAACTTACACGCAGAAGTAATCTTGGAAGAGATCAATACAATTTGCATTGTTTTGACAAGGTCTGTTCATACAATTACCGATGTCTCGTTCACATCGTTTTCCTGTCCATCCTGGCTGGCAGACACACTTGTATCCACCAATTACATCCTTACACGATCCACCGTTATAGCAAGGATCAGATGCACAGTCATCAATGTTAGTTTCGCACATTTCACCTGTAAATCCTTCGCGACACACACATTTATAATTATTATCAAGATCTATACATTTATCTGTGCCTATAGGATTACATGGCTCGGTGAGACATTCATCTATTGCTGTTTCACACTGAAGTCCTACAAAACCGGGTCGGCATTTGCAAGTAAATCCTTCTAATTGATCTGTACATGTTGCACCGTTTTGGCATGGTTCTGAAGAACAGTCGTCAATGGTATGCTGACATCTTTTACCTGTAAAACCAGCTTCACAAATGCAAGTGAAATCATCAATACCATCAACACAACGACCTCCGTTTTCACATGATGAAATAAGACATTCATTGATGTTTATATCACATGACGGTCCCGACCAACCGGGATCACATACACACTGGTGGACAAAAAGTTTATCTACACAAACACCATGTTTACAGGGTTCATTGGAACATAGGTCTATCTTCTCGTGGCACCGTTTTCCCGTAAATCCAGGTGGACAGGTACAGCTAAAGTCATTTACTAAATCAGTACAAAGAGCACCGAGAAGACAAGGTTTTTCAATACAGTCATCGGTATTAATTTCACAATGCTGTCCTTCCCATCCAGGTAAGCATTCACATTTATATCTGCCTTGTTGAAGAGCAAAGCATGTAGCACCATTTGTGCATGGGTTTCTATTGGCTGAGCATGGATCAATCTGAAAAATAATTGGTTTTAAAAATAATTAGCTGCATTATTGTATTATTTGTAAAATTTTTATTTAAACAGGTCAGTAAGAATTAGTAACATACCGTAATATCGCAATCAATGCCTGTATATCCTGACCTACATAAACAAGTGTAATTATTGTAACCTGGTTCATCTTTACACATAGCTCTTTCGGGACAAGTATCATTTCTACAATCAGACTTTTCTTCTTGACAGTTAATTCCACCATATCCTGTCGGACAAGAACATCTATATCCTTGTGGAAGATCGATGCAAGTACCGCCATTGTAACATGGTTGACTTGCACACTCATCTATATCTATTTCACATCTGCGCCCTGAAAATCCAGCTGGGCAGTAACACTGAACTCCATGACCTTTAGGAACGCAAAGACCTCCATGCTGACATGCACTATTTGAACATTCCACAGGGATACATTCTTCTAGTCCGGTAGCACCTGTTCCTACCGTCTTCATATTAGTTGGACATTCCATACATAGAGTTTGGCCTATTAAGTTTTGATAGAAATTTCTTGGGCATTGGGAACATGGAGCGAGTCCTGTTGGGGAATAGCTTCCGGGAGCACACTTTGCTCTGCATTTTTCTCTTCCAGAAGCAGCAGGCTGATATGTGTATGTATTTGCTGGACAAGCTTGACAGTCTCTGAATCCTCCTACCGGTGGCTCCCCAGTAAAGCTGTTTCTAGGACATTCCAAACAAGGCACTAAGCCTGTTGGTGAATAAGTTCCATATCCACATACTGGTATGCAATCAGTTATGTCTTTAGAACCTTCTTCCCTTGTAAATGTGCCTTGAGGACACTTAAGACACGATCCTTGTCTGGCTTGATTTTGGAAATATCCTTTTGGACACATTGTACAAGATTTTTGCTTTTCCCCGGCAAATGTTCCTGCAGGGCAATGAACTGAAACAGAAAGTTTATTTTGTGATTGTTTACTCTTTCCTTATTTATAATATATTAAAAATATTCATAAAAGAAAAAAGCTTACGGCATCTTGGTACATCATTCGTATCCATGTTAAGGACTTCTCCAACACTGCAAGTAAATCCTCGCGAAATGGAGCTTCTAATAGCTCTTAAAGGCGGACATTGATTTCCAATAGACGAAACGTTAAGTACAGGCTCAATAAGGGCACTAGCGTAGGGCACGGATAAGTCAAATATGAGATTTAGTGTTGATCCACACAAATCATATAATTGTGTTTGTTTAATAGATGGCGTTATAGCAAGGACAAAGTCCATTTTAACAACATTTTCATCTAGAAGACTAGGCATTGCTTTGACAAACGTAACATTTATATTTACATTAACAGCCGAACAACGTTGAGAGAGTCTTTCATTGAGTATATTATCATACTGAGCCAGTAAATCTTTATACTGCGGCAAGCAAGCATTTGAGACTGCACCAAGAGCACGGTACTGTACACTTGCAACGACGTGATACGCAGCTTGTTGTGTATCTGAAAACGATACAATGGTTAACACTTGAAGCTACATTTTAGTATAAATGATCATTTTTTAATTCTTCCTAGTGATACGTACTTTCAGAAACGCAATCAGGTACCACAGCACTAGGAACCCATTGACGTTTTGTTTCACAAACGAAGGTTTTAACTGGCTCATCGTCAGTAAAGCGGAAACCCGGGCTACATGTAGCAATACATTGAATTCCTCTATCTCCAGGTAAGCAATTAAGTGCACCATGTGCTGGTGGTATTAATTCCCAGTCCACGCAAGGTGTTGCTTGTACAGACACCTGCAAGAATATTTTATATTATGATATGCTAAAGAAAAAAAAAACGGAAGAAAAACTTTTTGAAAGTGTAAATTTACCTGGAAGTGACACTGAGCCTTGTTTCCATATTTATCTGAAGCTATAACTGTGACGTTTTCATAACCTCGAATAGGTATTACAGCTCTTTCAGGAATAAAATTCAAGAAAACTTCCCCTGATGCATCACTGGCGTTAATTCTTCTTCTCGTCTCATTGAAATTAACAGTATAACTATCTTGTTTGTCAACTAATTCAATTACATAACTTTGTGGACAGCTTAATTTCGGCGGAGTGTAATCTGGCACAGTAATATTTACTTCGCATATTGCGACATTACCGTCGAAATCAAAAGCTACATATCTTACAACCATGTTGTGAAATACTTGTATAGGCGTTCTAAAATGCTGCGGTGTAACTTCTAGTCGAGCAATTGCGCCTGAATTGTCTAGGGCTGTTGGCTCTGTAAAGTTGACTGGTAAAAGACCACCATTTACATCCGTTTGAACAACTATAGGCTGTTGAGGACAGTTTTGGAATACAGGGGGCTCGTTATCTGTAAAAAAATAGAACTATTGTATTTGCTGCTACAACTCTAAATGTTTCAATTGTTATTTTTGATGTACTTACCAACACATGGAGAATATCCATAATCATAACCTAATAAAGGCTCTACATTGGGCTCATCACAACCCATAAGCTCGAATTTGAGACAAGCATTATCCATAAAACTTACAATACCAAGTATAACAAAACGAGCTTGTACATATTTTGGCAGTGTTATCATTGCTAATTCCCCATAATTTCCTGGATCTCTCATCGTTAAATTAAAGTTAGGGAAATAAACTACATAATTTTCATTTTCGGCTTGTTTATAGAAGAATCTTATTTCTGTTGGCCGACCGACGATATCTGAAGTTACAACGCCCTTGACTAGAATAGCTTTGACCCTGTAAACTTTGCCTAAGTCAACACTAACATATGTAAAGGCTTCTTGTTTTCCACACCAACCAGTTACAGAATTAAGCCTGATATTTCTTGCTTCATAATTAGGTCTTTCGGACGTCGCATTAATTGCAGAATCTGGTATTCTTCCAGAAGCAAGCCCTAAAGGTTTTATAACCTTACATTCAGGTTCTCGCATACAAGTGATTGGTCTGGGATTTATCAAAATATACCCAGGCCTGGAACAACCGAACAAGACTTCAGATCCCTGTTCGTAGCTTCGAGCAATTTGGTATCCATCCGCAGGTCTTCCAGGATCATCACAAACCGGCCCTTCACATCTCAAATCTCCAAAGTCCCAAATGCCATTTGCTTGACATCTGACTACATTATCGTGTTTACTAGTTTGCCCTGCAAGTTTAAATGTATTTTGACAGCCAAAAAAGAAAGAACTTTGATATCTTGTATCTAAGTACTGGCCGTATTCAGCTCCAGGTGTAGGCATTGGAATACCACAGTCTTTCCGCGGACATTGAGGTTGTGCTCCAGAGAGCCAGTAGTCAGGGAGACCCTAAAACGTTAAGAATTACATTTTATTAAGTACAGTGCATTAAGACGACGAATTTTAACTAAATAGAAAAGTTTTTACCGGTTTTGGATCATATACACATTGTCTAAAAGATGATGTTATAGTGTTTCGTAAATGCCTTCCTGGCAATGTACATGTTATAGTTACATTGTCTCTGTACGGTACAAGAACACTCTCGGGATCATCTCTTATTACTTTCAAACCGTCATTCTTGTCGTCAGACAGAGTAACACATCGAGCATCTAAAAATAATTCTTATATAATTAGCAGGAAGGGTGAGGTTTACTTTTTTATTTTAATAACAGTCAGAAACAAAGTCTTACATTGACATTCTGGAGCAGTTCCATTCCAGGTACCGCTTGAGGTACATAGTAAGGATGAGAAACCTGACATTACATATCCAAAATCACACTGGAATTGAACGATGTCTCCGAAATGAAAAGTGGTTTTTGTTGATAGTAGTTTTCCATTTTCTGGAGATGCAAGTGACGGACACATAACAGGTACACACGATTTGTTCCTTTGATAGGTATCCCCGTCACGCTCACCAGTTTCGGAGGTTTCTATCTTAAACCCAGCTGTCCCATTTGATGTATATAGTTCATATCCAATATTGCAAGCGCAAGAGAAATTTCCAGGCCTGTAAAGCAAAAATAAGTAGGTAGTGAAATTTATTACTAAGGATGAAGAAATAAAGATATTATTTAAAAGTTACAATTTTTATGTACTTACGTGTTTATACATTTCTGGTCACAACCTCCATTGTTTTCATTGCATTCGTTGATGTCAGCACAGTCTAAACGTGCACATCCCATTACTTCTAATTTCAAGCATGGAGCTCCAACATAATCTTGAATTCTGAATTTTATGTATCGGGCTTCAATAGACATCGGTAAATTAAGAACAGAGAGAGTGGGTTCGAGAATACGAAATTCCACAGCAGTACCATCAGGGTTTGCATAATCTTTAAAGACATCCGTTAAATCGTTTGTGTACTGAATCCTTATTGCCGATGTAAATGCAATATTGCCATCTGCTCGCATGACGCTCATAGTTCTAAAACCTCTAATTACTGTTGGCGCTCTTAAATCTATAAGTATCCAGTTTGCTCCAGCTTCTAAATAATTACCACACCAACCACCACCGTTGTTCAAACGAACCATCTGGAAATGTAATCAAAATTAAAAATCTGCTAACAAGGACGTAATATAACATTTTCTATGTAAAATTTTAACGCAATTAATTACGGAGGGATATTTTCCATAGTCCAATTCCGACTTTCATGGTGGCGCATTCAAGAGGCGTGGCACATAAGTATAGTGGTTGTCCTTCAAAAAAGGTGACAGGGCCATATCGAAGAACTACAGACCGATTTCCCTTCTGAGCCGCATCTGTGCTATTTTCGAGAGTCATTACGAATTGTTTCCAACGCAGTCTTGATTATTTTCAGCTTCCCGAACAACTCGGCTTCCAATAAGGCTTAATACCACAGACTAATGAAATACTTCTTGAAATTTTTAAAAAGACCATGTCTTACAATCTGCCACTTGGTCTTACGTATCTGGACTATGTGAGTCTTTGATCCCGTCGAAATTTCGACGATACTGCAGCGGTGCCAGATTGACTGTCGGTACACACTCACTAGGTGATTTGTGGCATTATATGTTATAAATTACGATAATTTTTATTTTTAGTAAAATATACTCTTTGTAAAGCAAACCAAACGATTATCAAGCCTGTAGGTCTTTCGTGACATTTATTCTGGGTTATCGCGTCTTCTTAAGTAACATTAGGTAAATTATTCTATTATGCCAATGATTTAATAATATTAATTTTTCATTTAAGAAATAACTGCGAGTAGTTTACTTAATGTAACGTGGTCCTTATAGAAATAATCCCTTATTGAATTGTTAACTAGGAACATAGCAAAGGAATATAATATATTAAGCGTGATAATATAACGTGCGATAACTTACTCCTTTATAATATCCAGCCTCCGATGCTGATGTAGTGATGGATTCGTCTGGTATAGCTCCGTTTATCAATCCGAGATCACCAACAGGCCTACATTCGAGAACAGGGGCAAATCCTGGCCTACATGGGCAGTAAAAGCCACCTTGAGTATTCTTGCATTCAGTGGTTGCCAAATTGCATTGGCTGCTAATACATTCATTAATATCTTCACATGTTGGTGGTGGGTCAAACTCTTGGTTTGAACGGCATTTCAATACACTAGGTCCATTAAGTTTATAACCTGAAAAAATCCAGTAGTACATTTTACTTAGCTAACTCTTACTGATTTGTGCTTATTTAAAACCAAAACCGCAGTTTAAAACCAAGATATATTGTAATAAAAATATAATTTTACCTTTAAAACATTGTACCCTTGCTTCATCACCATACATGTATATCCTACTTTGATCAACTATGAAACCGTTCTTGATTTCGGGAAATATTGGACATAACACTTTTGAACATGTTGGAACATCACCAGACCATGTGCCGTTACTCATACAAAGAAGAACTGGTTGTCCAGTTCGTATATAGCCCGGTTCGCATTCATATCGGACAATGGTACCATAGCTTCTGCCACCACCATTAAGTATAGTTACATTGGCATGAGGAACATCAGGAAGCGCCACACATTGCGATGCTGTAATACATGAATTGATTGAATTGTATTTAAAACTATAAAATATGTGGATATAATAAACGAATAAGCTTCTTTAACTAAGCAATGAATAGATGAAGAAATTTATGAACATTACCGAGACAAGTTGGAGTCCGTTCCCATCGACCATCGGATAAACATGATATTCTTTCAATGGGCTGTCCAGTAGGGAATGCAAATCCAGCGTAGCATTGATATGTAGCCACACCTCTATATGTAACATTTGTTGAACCGATTGAAAAACCATTATCTATTTGAGGAACTGGTCCACAATATACTTCTGTAAATGATATAATTGGCATTTAATCCCAACGTTCTTAAATACTGTACAAATATTTTTATAGAAAAATACTTACCTTGGCAGCTAGGTATGTACGTAGTTGACCAATTTCCACCATCTAAACATTGCGTCACTATCCTCGATTTTCCTGTAGCAAATTCCTGTCCGATTGGACATGAAAATGTTACGGTAGTTCCAAATGCGGTATCTCTGTTTGATGCTAATGCTCCAATACCAGACTTAAGCGGAGGACAATCTATAAAATGTCATATTTTATTAAACATCACTGTTTATTTAGCGCTATAATAATATTTAAAAATTATAAATAAATTTACCTGCAGAGAACGTAGCTTTCCATCCGTATCCATTGTGTAAGGCATCAGATACGAACCTCACCAACATTTCGCCACTGGAAGCGGTTAATGTAATTCTTGGTTTGACAGTGAAACCATTTTCTGAATGCAATCTTAATCCATTTGTACTTGATCCGTCAAAAACTTGAACTACATCAGATGGATGAATATTAAATTCATCGAATTTCAGTGAAAGAGGACCGCCGTTGGGATTTTTGATTCTGTACAAACATTCTTGATTATTGGGATAATTACTAAGACCAAAAGCTGGCGAAGTAAATGTCCCATTTGCTGCAACTATCGTTGCTCTACATCCTTGAGAATATCTCATATCAAAACCTTTTTTAGAGTCGCCGAGACTTGTCCTAAAGTACATATACAAATAGTTTGTTGTTGATATTACAACTTTTTGGTTTTCTTCTCCAGGTCCTGTAAATCTTGCAAGAACTGGACTTGAAGGCGTATTTCCGTCTTTGATAACAATGTAGTCCCTGTTCATTTCTAATTCTAAGTCTTCAATTTCAAGTGATACAATTCTTCCTGGTTGGGCTTCAATTATGTACACACACTCTAAACCTCCAGGATAACCAATTGGATAGCCAGGTGAAGTTAACACCTGTCCTTGAGGTGTAGCTCTAAGTACACCACCACAGTTAGACGATTCAGTTTTCCAAGAAGCACGGAAACCTTTTTTTTCTACAGACCCATCAGTGCTAAATTTAATAATCATGAAGTTAGAAGCTGATACAAAAGTTTTGCTTGAAAGATCCTGTTTCCCTGATAGCGTGGCCAAGTTAACAGATTTGTCTTCAGTTCTACCGCCCACTAATATTTGAACAGTATCAAAAGACTTTTCAGTTTCAAAATCTTGGAACTGTAATACAATATTTTGGCCTTGTGGTCCTTCAAGTGTCCATTTACATTCGCTGAACGCTGGGTATTTGTGTGGGTAATTTGGACTTTCGACCACATCTCCACTGCTGGCCATATAAAAATGACATTCGGAAGCACAGTCCATTTCGTCGGAAGAATCCCCACAATCATCTTGTTTGTCGCATCTAAAGGCCGAGTTGATACATCTTCCGTTTGAACAATGGAAGGTTCCTAAAATAAATGCTATTATTATCTCTGGGCGATTTAAAATTTATAATTTTTTATATCTATGCAAAGAAAATACCTGAATATGCGTGAGTTCAACTTTGACATGCTACAAAAGTTTGATTTTATTCGATAAAATATAAGTACCTATATAGTAGAATTTTTGGATGGATAATATTGACGATGATGGAACCTATGGATTAAAATATAAAAAAAATGTAAATAAATTACCTGCTGGGCACGCATCACTCTTACACATAAAGGGGAGGAGGGTTTCGCAGGTAGTCAATTCCCAAGATTGTTGATCAGAGGTGACATGAACATCGACACATTCTCCGTCTTTTGGGTTTGGTTGTCTTAAGGCCCAATAACCTGCATATTGCGATACCAAGCCACCGGCAGCTGATTCTAGTGTGTTAGTTCTCAGATCATCTACAGTTGCAAGACCGAGCCAGTAGTGACTATAACTAGGACTAGAAGGCACTAAACTGGCAGTCATGTTGTTTTCCGTGTAGCTTTCAACAACCATAAGTTCGCTACCATACCTGAAATAATAATTGTATCATTTATATAGTAAAAGTTTCGCTATAATTCTGATTTATTTATTTTGCTATAATTGTATAAAAATAAGTAATTACCTTCGACATAATTCTGCTGCTTTTTCCCAAGAATGTCTGATATTGAAAAACTTATAGCAATGTAATCCTTTTATCTCCCAGCCTGAAATAAAAAAAAATTATAATTAGTGTAAGTCAAGTAAATATGTTAACACTTTACTAAACTACTGTTTACATAGCATTGTTACAGAGTATACGGTATAAATTATGCGTAGTTCAATTCGATATATACTAAGTGAAAGCAAAACTGTGTACAGGTACTGTAAATGTTTAACTTTGTGATTTCTGTCAACGGCGTTACGAATGTCGCTTTCTTCTAAAGACTGGTGAAATCTGTGTATATTTTGTTGAAAAGCTACTGCTTATTTTCTTTTATTTACATAAACAATTTTATACAAGTAAACGATCCTCTGAACATGTCAAAGACTCGAATAAAACTAAATGTCTTCTTATTTTTCTTGATAAAAATATTTTTAGACTGCTATTAAATGAGGGTCATATGTCAAAATACTTATTACCTAAGCCCTAGCTGCAAGTTTCCGTACTTATAATATTATGACTCCAATTATTTTTTTCCAAATGTGACAACTATGGCAAACATTTCCCATACGAAACCTATGGGGGAGGCCTGATACAGTGGACTTTTGATAGGCTGTAACGGTAACGGTAAGTAATAAAAAAAAATAAGCAGCTAATATTTTACAAATGGAGCGTGAGAGTTCGACGACTTATCGCGAAGAGCGAAGTGGATTCACGCTTCAATGGATCTCATTGCAATACGATGCATTTTGTTGACCCACTTGTTTTGTGTTACTAACGAGAAAAACACTCTATTTACTCTCAGTTTAAAAACATTGATTGATAATGACAAAAATACCATCTACAAAAGGTTGTGAAGACGGTTACCTGTGTTAAAAATAAAGAATTCCATATTCAAAAAACATTGCAATAACTATAAAAATATACCTATCTATTTTGCATATTGTACCTAGTAATTCAAATTTTGTTTATAATATCGAATAAATATATAATTAATTTTACGATGTATGTTTCAAAGCTATGGTACCTACTCATTAATCTTACCCAGATGTTTTGCAGATTGTGATTTATCACAGCAAAGCAAAGATTTAGTGCCGCAAAATACAACATGCAAAATTATTTTGTACGCTGAAGCATATTGGTGCCTTACAAATATAAACTGAATATATAGACTGAATATTATGAAATTTAAAACGTGATCCAATCTTTTATTTAATATAGATATTTTATCATTTAAGCGTCAATACTATATTTTGTTATAATATATAAAAGTAACACCTAAATATTTTGCAATAAATAGTTGTCAATACTCGATTCTAATGATTCAATTCAAGTCTCGGCATCGAATATTGATCCATAGCTAGCCTAGTTGGCGGGAACAATTGTTTCTAGTGCCCTTAGAGCATAGCCTACAACCTTGCTGGAGACACGGATATGCGGCTAAACCGGATATTAAGTTACGTCGCCACAAACGATTTGAAAGCTTTGAACTCGAATGTCGTACAATGAAGATTCTACTTCCATTGTAATTTGATTTCAATGCGACTTGGGATCTTAATTCAAGCGGAGTATCTTTTAGAAATTATATAACATGATTTGAAACAATAACAAGCGGTAAAATTAAAAATTTTGTACTACCGACTTCAATATAAATAAAATGAGAACATCAACAATGTAGACGAAGTTAATTAAATACTCATTATTAAAGGATAACTCAAAAACTACTGGTCAGATCTTGATCAAATTTATATGGGACCACATGAGAATTATCAGTTGTCAAATAAAAAAAGAATCATCAAAATCGGTTCTCCTAGAAAACATTTCTCGTCCTTTTTTAAAGTCGGTGGAAGAACAGAAATAAACAAAAATATTTTATATAAAAACATAATTTTTATAGCGTTATGAAGCTTAATCAATAGTTACAGCATTCGTAATTTCGTTCTAAGTTTTGAGTTTAAATCCCGGTCTAAATAATTTAAAACAGAAAAAGAAAATTAATTTGGGCTAGATGTAGTGTGATTAATATCTTTAATACATTAAGATTTATGGTAGAAGTGTATAACATCGGGAACGAGAAAGTCCGGACGAGTGACATTGTATTCATGCGTACACTTCAGACTATCCTGATTCTGTGAATTTGATAGTTTACTAGTTACTAAATATAGTATTAATAAGAATAATATTTGCCGTTGTAATCAGCCAGAATAAGAAGAAGATTCTGTTTATAGTATAACAGTTTGCAAAATATTTTGAGGCGATAGAGGGAACAAACCAGGAGATGGAGTGCAGCGCCTTCTTAAAAAAAGTAAAATTACAGCCTGTATACGTTACCACTTCTCGGCACAGGCCTTCTCTTTTTAAGAGGGTTCTTTTTTATAGGATGAGGGTGACAAACGGGCACACAGTCCACCTGATGGTAAGTGGTTGCTGTGGCCCATATACATCTACATCTATCCTCGTTTGCGAATCAAAATGCAGATGCGTTGTCACCCATGAGGACTAAGATGGAATGCCGCGTTTTCAGTAAATAAGGGTCTCCGGTTCTCTACACTCACCATACGAAACACAGCAGCGTTATGCTATTTTACGCTGGTAGCACGAAAGGATCGTCGCGACCGGAAAAGGTCCACGCTCTTACAGATAACCAGCGTAAAATAGCAGCTAAATAGTATATCATATGGTAAGTGTAGAGAAACCTTTTTACTGGAAACGAGGCATTCCATCTTAGTTCTCAAGGGTGACAACGCATTTGCATTTTGATACTTAATTGAGGATGGGCATTGGTGTTTATGGGCCACAGCAACCACTTACCATCAGGTGGGCTATGTGCTCGTTTGTCACTAATCCTATAAAAAAAGTATGAGTGTACTTATGTACGCACGTAGGAAGTTATACTTCATTAGCGTAACCTTAAATACGTATAGTTATTAGTTCTCATGAAAACTTGAGAGACAGTTACCCAATGAAGTTGTCGCTTTAAGGTGTCAGTGTGTACGCGAATCGTAACAACTTCATGGTGTCGTTTTTATCTATCGGTGTGCGCGCGCATCGTAAAAAATTCACTCTCATAATTTTCCTCAAAAATATAACTCCAATAAAAAAACTTTGCTTTGTGGTAGTTGTGATGGGTTTTTAGGGATATGTGAAATACTTGTATTAAGTTATTTATGTGATTTTTTAAGTCAAAGTATGTATAGAAACACTATGGTGTTTATAATGAAGATTAGTTTTGGGTTACTAAAAGTAATTGCTGAGTCATGTTTACTACGTCGTGTATATAGTTATACCACCTTTCACTTATTACAAATCGGCCTCCAAGGCTGAGTACGACGCACAGTTTGCCGTTCAATCGACTCTAAAATGCCGTCACAAAGCTTGTATTGTAAACGGCAAAAGATCAATGGCGATCCAATAGCTTTTTATTTGAATCTATGTACGTGATTTAGTCGCACGGTAGCGTTGATAATACCTACAGAAGTTATTACTTTTTGTAATAAACAAAAGGAAATCGATGGCCTAAAAGAGAAACGTGATAATTACATGCGAAGTGAACTGTTATTGTTTATATATCTTCGCTTCTAGTTAGATTATTAAACTATGTTAAACTTAATTTTAAAGAAATATATTTCTATATTATACAAAAATATATAGAAAGTATGTGAAACAAAAAAAAGTTACTGCGCGGAATTACTGAAATCTTCATAATCAATCTTCATTATCAATTCTATCACACAGAGACACTGATCATAGCCCAAAGCCTCTCATGAGCTCAAAGAGCTCAATGTTAAGTGTTGAACATCGGTGGTATGATGGACAAGCACAGAATTATAATAGTAACAAAGAAGATTTTAGACTATATAACGTCTTCTTGTCTTACATCTACCTGCATTTGAATAGGTTTCGTACTCTGGTTATATAATCAGATTGCCATGGATCTTAGCAGTCTTTATGTACAAACATTTCAACGCTTTGATATACCGATATTATATAAAAAAGAGTTGTCTATAGGAAATTGCTTCTAGGAGTGATAAGACCGCCTATTGCACCTTTTTTTATACATTTCATGTTTTTTTGTTTTTCCTCTTCGTTCTTGTTTGCTTTTGTTCTTAAATGTATTAGTGAATAATAAATAATATTTAAAAATTTGATTGATTGATAATCAAGCCGTAGTGATAGATTGTACTCTTCGGTCTTCTGCACAATTTGCCAAAGGGTGTATATGTGGTCTATGGTCTATAACCATTATATTCGGGAGGCTGGAAGTAGTCTGCGAGCAAGATGATTCATATGACTCTCGTAAACACCATGTAGACACGGCTTGGCGTATAAAAATAAAAAAAAATATTTATAAAATATATCAAAAACGTTTCGAATACGCACGTGTTTTTTTTTCCCACCAAAGATTTGAAGTGAAATAAAAATAATTGCGCTCTGTTTGGCGTTTAAATTTTAGACCATAGATGTTTAGTTTAAAAGATATAATTTTGCATTAATCGAATAAAAATAATGAATATTAACGGCGATAATAAAACAAATTCTGTCAAAATTTTGTTCAAAGAACCTAAAACAATAGTAAGGCTATGATAATAATAGTAGCTAAAATGCATAACATGTAATTTTTAATTCCTTTTAATTTTAATTTTTCTATCATAAGCTTCATCAAAATGGTTAACACTCAAATATTTACTGCCCATTGTTACTTACTGTACATTTTTATTACAGTATAACTAACACCAGTAGTTATCATCATTAGACATCGCAGTACATCATCAATCGTCAACTTTGTCTCAGCCGTGCAGGCGCGCCTAGTCCGTGTTACTAAGCAACTGACCCAGATTGTGATGTTTCAAATCTCACATTGATGTGTTAGTTTAGAATAAAGCTAATGGATCTCATTTCTGAAGGATGACGTAAACGTCTCTTGACAATATAGTTTTAATGTACCACCATTAAAACAGTCATCAGTTGCACGCGGCACCGACTTTACGCTTTATTGGAAGTCGCCATCTGTCGCGACCATCAAAAGCAATATTGTTTGGGATTTATTACATAATAATAATGCAA